GAAAAGCTGTTTCCAGAAGACCCCAGAATGCCACAACGCCTCCTCCTCCTCCTACACCTCCTCCTCCTCCGCCTCCTCCTCCTCCTCCTCCCTCCTCCTCCTCCTCCTCCTCCTCCTCCTCCTCCTCCTCCTCCTCCTCCCCTCCTTTTCCTTATAAATAATGTCTCCCTGTCGCACCCCGAGGCCAGTTTTTAGGGCGGCCCGGGCGTTTCCCTGGAGACTTCCTCACCACGTATGACTCTGAAGCTTAAAAATTGACAACAGCTTAACAGATGGAGGGCAGGTCATTTTCAAGATGTGGCTCTCGCCTGAGCGCGGCGCACATGCGTTCCAACTAATTGCAGAAGCTTCACGGATTGAGGGTGGGTGTTTTTCAACATGTGGCTCTCGCCTTAGCGCGGCGCACATTCGTTTAAAACATGTCCAAGAGTTTCACGGATTGAAGGCGGGTGGCTTTCCAAATGTGGCTCTCGCCTTAGCGCGACGCACACTCTTTTTAAACATGTGCAGGAGCTTCACGGATTGAGGGCACATCGTTTTCCAAATGTGGCTCTCCCCTTAGCGCGGCGCAGATTCGTTCTAACAATTTCAATGTGCAAGAGCTTCACGGATTGAGGGCGGCTCCTTTTTAAAATGTTGCTCTCGCCTTAGCGCAGCGCACATTCGTTCTCAAAGTTTGAAGGAGCTTCACGGATTCCCATCACCAACGTGTCAGCAATTTTGCTGACAAGATTCAGGATTATGCGGGTGCAACATTTATAATGGTTCGCTGTGTTGAAGTCCCAGGAATGGTGTTCTGGCACGATTCAGGATTGTCAAGACGCAACAATCAGGTTGATCCGTGGCGTTGGAATATCGAGAACAATGTTTTGGCATGCTTCAGGGTCATCAAACGGTTGTCTTCCAACGAGGCAGTTCATTCAATGGCAATGAACCGTTGTAGGAGCCTATGAAGAGGGAGCTTGGAGGGAGGCTCTATTCCAACATCGTTGATGGTTCTTGGAATAAAACTGTTCCTCCTCCTCCCCCTCCTTCTCCTCCTCCTCCTCCTCCTTCTCCTCCTCCCCCCCGCTCCCCCTCCTCCTGCTCCTCCTCTGCCTCCTCCTCCTCCTGCTCCTCCTCATCCTTCCCCCCTCCTCCTCCCTCATCCGCCTCCTCCACCCTTCCTCTTCCTCCCCCACTCCTTCTCCTCCTCCGCCTCCTACGCCCCCCCGCTCGTTTTCATCTTCGTCGTCTTCAGGGTCGGCGACACCGGCCGTAAGGCCTTCGCAATCGAAGGAAGGGCCCAGAACCAGAGTCCCTTCTGGGTCCAAAGTGGTCCTCACTTCAGCGCCTTGGCAGTATCCATACGTTCCCGACCGCACTCGAAAGACGGAATTTCGTGGACATGCAAGGCTCCAATGAATTGCTGCCAGGTGCCGAGGCCGTGGACGTCTGGGAAGACGTCCCGCCGCCGGCGTGCCGAAAACGGCGCGCCTGTCCGAGTAGCGACCGCGGACGTCGGCGAAGCCGGCCCGCTTCGCACAGGCCGCCCTGGCCTCCCTCGACGTGACCTTGCCTGGGGGCGCAAGCATCTCAAAGCCCGTTGCTCATGCTCGCGAGAACGCCCGGGACCAGCCCCGCCGCCCCCCCCTCCCCTGGCAAAGGCCCCCTCGAGTCATGAAATAACCTCCCGTCGTGACTGTTCATCCTGAATCGTTTTTTGACGGTTCCAACCCGGTCGGGACCGTCAACAAACGACTCAGGGTAAAAAACTAGCACCAGGGAATGGGTCGAGACCCCTGCATGACAAGATCATGACGTCGGGGGTCTTACCCTCTCCCCCTGGTCACGTCAGGATTCGCGCCGGCACCGTGTGGGAATGGGACCTTCCTGCGCGTTCCCAGATGGCGCTGGCGCGAATCGTGACGTGACCGGCCCCCTCCCGCCCCCCTCCCCGCCCACAGCTCACAGCCGTTTTCGCCGGGGGAGAAGCAGTTGTCTCTTAGGAGACCACTTCTGGGAGGTCTTCGCAAAACGACTAAGGGCTACTCAGCCCGACTAGGGGGCCAGTGAGCCGGATTCGGCAGGATTGAACCCAGGATAAAACCGGATAAAACGGGATTCAGCGAGACTCAGCCAGGTTCAGCTGGATTTAGCGGAATAAAGCCACATGAAGCCAATTGTCGACCAGGGATGAACCATCGCCGATTCTGAATTTAACCTCCCAAGCAATGCATCCCAAGGATCGGTCGGCATCGTCGCGATCGGGAAGTCGGGTCGGATCGGGTTTTGGCCGTTGACGGCCTCGGGGGGCCCTCGCTGGGACCAGGTACCATCAAAAAGTGGCTCGGAATCAAAAACTGGTCCTCGAAAAAAAAGAGTCGGGACTTCCAGAGACTGCGTAATGAAAGAATCAAGGCGTGGCATGTCTGGGCCGTCCTCCCCCTCCCCCCTCCTCCTCCTCCCCCTCCTCCTTCTCCTCCCTCCCCAACCTCCTCCTCCTCGCCTTCCTTCCCACCCTTTCCCCTGCCACATCCTGTCGAGGAGGCGGGATGACCGCACAGCCCATCCAAATGACGCGGGACACCAGGTCGGAAACCCCACCCCACGGGGCCGCTCTCTAACCTTCGCGGGGCCATCTGAGCTGGTCCCAGGACGCAAAACGACCCCCTCGAAATCAGAGCCCAAACCTGCGAGGATATGATATTTTCAATCGCGGCGTGTCTCCTCCCTCCAGTTCGGCCCCCCGTGGGGCCGCCTTTCTCGGGCCAGGCGGGGGCCCTCCAGACATAGCCCCGGAACGTATCGAGACTGTCCCTGGGAACGGGTCGGGAGCTCTGGGGCCGCAGATTGGAAAAAAGCCAGATCGGAAGATGTTTTGCAGTGTGCGTCGGAGAGCAAAGCCTGGGAGGGCACCAACTATACACCTACACCGATCCTGGCCAGGATCACCCTGGGCCCAGGATCGGTGTATACGCCCTCCTGCCTTGCGCAAGAAGGCGTATACACCGATCCTGGGCCCAGGGTGATCCTGGGCCAGGATCGGTGTTGGTGTATAGTTGGTGCCCTCCGAAAGCCGTCATCAATGTCACGCTGGTCGGACGACACCATCAGTGACCAGAGTATCATTGCTGAGAAAAATACAACGCTGTTCTGGGAGAAGCGAGTGAGTAACGCGAACAGTTTGAAAGACGACGCGCGTGTCATTGATTGCATTTGTCCCTCCTGAGTGCGTCTGGTCTGCCTTTGCGCTGTTACGGTAGTGCTGCCGCTGTGGAGGGAGATCGCCTGCTCGAGGGCTGCCAGAGAGGTGCCCCCAGCCCGAGGTGCACCCAGGATTTCCAGGAAGGTCCCCACGGCCGCCAGACCACTCCGCACGAGGCCAAGAGCAAGACCAGACAGCATCGAATCCAGAAATCTGGTCGGACCTGAACGTGCGTCGGGTCGGCCTGCATCGGCACGGAGTCGGCATCAAATCGAATCGGCCGCGACAGGATGCACAACGGCGCCATTCCCGCGTCGGGCCGCATCGGGATGACGGAAGATAGAGATCAAGTTGGATCGGGCTGGCCGAAATCGATGTCGAATCGGATCGATCGGATCGAAATGGACCCTGTGTGAGCGCCGGCGGGTGGTAGCGGCAAGGGCACCGCAGCACCGCGTGGAGAAATCGCTTGCGCGCGGTCTTCCCGGAGTGACCCTCACGCCTTGAAAACAAAAACAAGACTGCGATGTTTCACCGTGTCCGGCCTCCTGGTGTCGGTTTCGGGCCCTGGGGCCGTCAAAGAAAAGCTTCGGGATGAAAAGCCGGCCCTGTGGGAAAGGGGTCGGGACAACTTCCAGGGAACCCCCGATTGCAATTAATACTTCTACGGTAGGACCCCACATGCTAATATCCTTGATGCGCATGTATGTGAGCATCGACGACTAACGATGGGGATACTACTAGGATGCCTGGATGTCAGCATGCTAAGACGCCCGGATGCCAGAAGCCAGGATGCCCTGACACCTACCTGCCAGGATGCCGTAGGAGGCCATCATGGTGAGGTCCCAGGATGCCAGGATCAGGGATGCCAGGATGCCAGGCGGCCAAGAGACCAGGCCGCTTGGATGCCAGCATGGCAAGACCCCAGGATGCCGGGATGCGTGTGCAACCAGCGCGCACCTGTAGCATAGGCGGGACGTGTGGGAAATGCGGAACACTTAGGACCCGCACGACATGTGGGACCTCTGGGGCCTGTGGAACACGTAGGACTTGTGCGACCTGTGACAGCTGTGGGGCCAGTGCCACCTGTAGGTCCTGGGGAGCGTGCGGGACTTGTGAGTCCTGCGGGACCTGTACGACCTGTGCGACCTTCTGGGCCTTCGGCACGTGGGAGGCCTGTAGGACCTGTGCAACATGAGGGGCGTGTGCGAAGTATGCGACCGGTTGGACCTGTGAGGCTCTGTCAGATCTGCGGGGCATGTGCCTGGACGCCAGGATGCCAGGGATGCCAGAATGGCAGGGATGCCAGAATGCCAGAGACACCAGAGACACCAGTGATGCCATGGCGCAAGGATGCCAGGGATGCCAGGGACGCCAAGGATGCCAAGGATGCCAGGATGCGAGCGCAAAACCAATACCAGGAATGGGGGTCTGCGAGCACGGAGAGCCCGAAATGGCTAACAGTTGGCCCCGGGCAATGGATATCCGCCCAGGATGTTCAGTTCTGGGAGCACGAATAGCCCGAAGTGGCCTACACTGGGCTCAGGACATGCAAGACCAATTCCAGGAATGAAGTTCTGGGACCACGAAAAGACCGAAGTGGCCAACGGCTGGCACAAGACATGCAAATCAGGCCTGGGAGCGGGAGTCTTCGAACTCGAAGAGCGCCAAGTGGCCGACAGTTGGCTCCGGACACTCGAAATCAGGACAAGAGTGAAATTCGATCGACTCGCTGATTACCAAGCCCTATGTTTTTGCATGTATCCCGAAGGCCGCCTCGGATCAGAAACATGAAGCGCGGACCCAATAGGGATGGGGGTCCCTCCTGAGACGTCCTCATAATTCAGTACGAGGCCCCCGCTCGAGACTCCCGCTAGACGAATGAATGTTTTAGTGAGTGCGTGAGCGCGCAAGTGTGTGAATGTGTGCGGGGGTACTGATGGAGATGATGGTGGTGATGGTCATTGGGGCAGGGACGGGGATGGTGATGATGATGCTGATGTAGATGTGAATGTGTGTGCGCGCGAACGTGAAAATGATGATCACGGTGATGATGGTGGTGCAGATTATGATGATGCTGAGAGTGATGGGAATAATAATGATGATGATGATGATGATGATGATGAATGGTTGCGGTGGTGATGATGATGATGATGATGATGATGATGATAATGATGATGATGATGATGATGATGATGATGATGATGATGGTCACGACGACGATGACGACGACGATAACGACGATGGCGACGATGATGATGATGATGATGATGATGATGATGATGATGATGATGATGATGATGATGACGATGGCGAAAATGACGATGGTGATTGTTTGTTGTTTCCCTCGGCGGGCGTCACGGCGAGTGAGACCAGTGTGAAATTTCGGGCGCAAGTGAAGTCACACCGACCCTTGCCTTCGCAGGTTGGGCGCCACGGAAAGCAACATGCAAGCAAAAGGGCGGGGAGACAGAGAGATCATCGATCGATCCCAGCCGAGAACACGCAGCTAAGCCTGCCACCCGACAAAGAGGCGGGCGGCCAGAGACAACACGGGTGGAGACACGGCCTTCAGGTGTCGCGGCCTGGCGCGGGGGCCCGGACAAACAATACTGAAAGAGCCAGACAGAGCGACCACGCCCTAGTCGCATCAGGTGTGCCTCACAGTGGTGAGGGCCGCCGCCGTGACTGGCGGACTCGCTGAGCGGAGCCGAGAGAGTAGACAGGAGCGAGAGAGGCGAAAGAGGCGAGGGAACCAGCCCACAGAACTCACCCACAAGAGCGCTGGAGAGGCCGAACGAGCGCGAAACATACATGAATTCCTCGGGGGCATGGCCACAATTAAACACAGTCGCCAATCACGCAGAGGGGAGGCGGAGACGAGAGGCTGCAGCAGCAGCAGCGGCGAGCAAACGAAGCAGCAGCCACAGCCGCGGCGGCGGCACGACGGGGGGGGCGGCAGCAAGAAGGGGGAGAGACGGGAGACACGGCCCGCACAAGCCCCGACCACAGCGCGGGCAGACAAGAATCTGAGAGCTATGAATTCCTGGCCGTCTGAACGGGCACTCTGATATTCGGGTGACGCTGCATGAGCAGCCGAAGGCCACCTTCAAATATCTGTCCAGGAGAGGCTCCCAAAGGAGAGGTGGCGACTCTCAGTTCACGAAACACTCCAGCAGAGTTTACGGAGCAAGATCCCCGACTATATCGGGGGGCCGTCCGTCAACGCAGCAGAGCGTCGGGAACGGATTAGCGAATCCGAGCGGGAAGAGGGGGGAGGCCCAGGAGGAGAAGAGAATAGTAACTTTTGGGCAGCGTAAATAGTGACACTGATCGTCCTCGGCATCACGACAGCACAGCCGAAGAGACAGGGCTTCGGGCGAGCGTGGGCTTTGGCGGAGGTCCAGAGTCGCCGGCAAAGGGGTCTAAATACAGCAACCGCTAAAAACATTGAGCCCGAATTGAAGACTGGACAAAGCCTCCTGGCTAGCACAGAAAACCAGACATTCGCAGGGAGGGGTGGGGGGGGGATCCATCTCATCTCTGAACTAGTTGTCGATATCGGCCTGAATTTGCGCAGAACCAATGTCACCTCCAAGTGCAGGCGTGAACTTAGCTTGGAACACCAGAAACGGGGCCGTCGAGTTAATCCGACGAGCTCGGGGCCGAAGCTGAGATTGGTTTTCCGACATGTAGGACAGGAAGAAGTCAACATGCCATCCTCGAAGAAGCCTCTGGGGGGCGAGGTCATTCTAGTCGCTCAGAGTGGTCCCGCGGTTCTCCTGGGAGCGCCTCCAAGCCCTCAAATCCTGAACGGCCCTGCACGCTGCAGCCCTAGCCGCATGCGAGACCAGAATAGATTGAGCGTTACATCCAACAGCCTTCACATCCTCATCATGCTTCTTGCGAAGCTGAACCTTAGCCAGGCAGGATCTGAAGGGCTGTGTCCGCAAGCTGCAGCAGGCGAGAGGTTGGGCGACGAAACTGAAGCACATAGCCCAGCACTGAGATCACTCGTGCGTTGCGCGCAACAATAGAGTCGGCTAAACCAGCCCCCACAAGTCTAACTTTGATTGATCGCCGAAAACACTTGCCAGCCTGGGCGAGGAACCATTTCGAACGCGATTTGGGGCCCGCGCTAACTCCGAGATGCCGGCGCCACTTAAACCACCGAGAGGAGTTCCCAGCCATCGCCGCGAGCAGTTAAGCACAACGCAAACCTTGGCACCTGAGTCGGGCAGCTGACCAAGACAACAAATTTCAAAACAATGCAACTGTAGCCCCGCAGCCGCAGACAACTTACAGAGCCCGGTGAACAGCGGACCCAACTCGGAGAAGAGCTGGCCCACCACAACCTCTGGTCGCCGGCGTGCCCTGGGAGCCTGGACCCTCTAGGACTAAAGGAACACAACCGCCTGAAGACAGGGTCCAAGGACAGCGCAGACAGTAGCATGGGCGCAAGGCACCCTTGGCGAACACCCCGCCCAACAGCGAATGAGGCCAACACCGATCTTGCGAAGTGGCCTATTGCGACGTAATCATCATAGAGGTGAGAGAGACATGAAATGACCCAGCGCGGGATGCCCATTTTACTCAAGACGAACAGAATCCGGGCAATGATCCGACTCGGGAGCGCAGCTTCGAAATGTGCGAAGAGCTGAGCCGACGGGCAGCGTCCTTCGATCGCTGCCAGGGCCGCGTCGCCTTCACACTCGATGATGTTATCCAACCTCGAACGCCCAGAGACACTCCACTCAGCCTGACTGCCCACGATAGAGCGATGACCAAGCAAAGACAGAGGAATAACAAAAATTACAGTCACCAACTTACAGTCTACGCAACCGATGGAGAGCGAGCGAGCGCAGAATGGTTTCCAAGATGGCGTCGCAGATGCACCAGCGGAGCGATCCCCTCTGGCCACGAGCACCATGGGCATAGTATGAACGTCAGGGGGGCGAGCGTTTTCAGGGCGAGCGATGCAGTACAGATAAGAGATATGCAAAGCCTCCTGAGCTTCAGGGGGGCCCCCAACGACCGCATGGCAGCCCATCGACGCGCGGCGTCGAATCACACATCGACTGAACCAGCCGAGCAGACTCCCCGCGATCCAGGACCCGGACCAAATCAGGCAGCAACAACAAACACAACAACAACAAAAAACAAAACATCCGAACATTCCTGGGCGAACGGTTCTAGGGCGGACCAAAAGCGCGCGACCAGGTTCGACCGCGGCGAACACATAGCCCCACTGACGAACAAGCTCCTGGAGAACATGTTGTAGCGACGTGCGCGATCCACCTGCGCTCTCGTGCAGTGGATTGCCATGCCGACCCGTCTTGTTCAGCGTGCTCCAGCGCTCGCGATTGCGTTGCGCGCGCGGCGTCTCTGCGCTTCATGATCGGGAAAGTCAGTCGCACTCTCCAGAGCCTACGCCTCCTCATCAAGAAACGAGCAGCTACGGAAAGCAACGCAAGCAAACGTACCAGCTGCATCAGGGAGGGCGCCAGTGCCTTCATCCGAAAATGCGGCCATAACAAGATAAGCACACAGAGCACGGATCGCGAGATAGTGCGAGGATTGGCCAGCACGGCGCACTCAAGGCCGAGACACTCCAATGCAGGTGCTCCCGAGTAGATGCGGCCTCGCTACAACGCATGACCTTTCCGAAGCTCTGTGCGAGCATCGCGCGCAGCAGCCTCGGTGCGCTCCAGCCGAACAAACGGGGGCGATGGCAATTCTCTCTCAGTGAGCAGCCTGGCCAGGATGTCCTGATACGCAGCCGCTCGTGGGATCCAGGCGGGCACGGGGGGCGGGCCAGGGCCACTGCGCCAACGCTAGGGCATCATCCGACGGCCTTCTTGAGATTAGTGGGCGCACCAATCGCAGTCCCCCCCCGACAAGCCAGCCGAGTATCCTGCGGCTGACGCAACTCAATCCAATCCCCACAGAGTGAGCTCCATTCCCTAGCGTGTGCTGCCCCCTCGAGCGAACATGCACTGCTGCACCTGAAAGCGACCTTCATCGACGAGCACAGACTTTAAGTCTCCGAGCAAGACATTCGCGACCGATTTCGAGGGGGCGAGAAACGACTTCAGACGGACCAACTGCTGCCGATGGCGCGCGGCGCCCGTGTCGACACCGGGCAAATGCACAGCCGCCAGCCCCAAGAGCCCGTAAGAAACCAATCCGAGGACGTTCGAGATTTTGCCAGGACAGATAAAACGACGGTGGAAGTCGGCGAAACAGCGAGCAACTCGATCTCGAATACAAATCAGAAGCCCATGCCCAGACAAATGTCGAGGGCGAAGGTTAGAAAAGAAACGGTGTTTCGGGAACTCTCTCCGGGAACCAACGAGGTCCCCGACGCGGCCATGAGACTCCGGCACGCATGTCACCCGATAGCGTCGAATCAAGCTTGAGGAGAGCTCCCATCTCTGACGTGCCCTGTTCTTCATGCTGGCGACACCCCTGAGCAGCCCTCCCGCGTTCCAAGCCACCACGGTGAAAACTGTCACAGGCAAGAACGGAAGGAACGAACTGTGGCTGATATCCTTCAGCTGATCCTGTGCCTCACTGAGTGCCCCATCGCGCAAAAGATGGGCGACCTCCTGAGTGAAAGCACCCTTCATCCCTGGCTCCTCAGCCAGCGAGACGCGCGGAGTCGAAGCGCTAAAACGCAACCCACTGTAAACCTGGTCGACAATCGTCCGCGGCGGCTGACCCTTCATCCAAAAGGTCAGGAAGTTACAAGCGAACGAGATTACCTTCGGATTCTCGGACTCGATCCTGGTTTCGCTACGCGAAAGAACTTGAGAGACTCGCCCGTTGTGTCCTTCTCTGCGAACGCATACCCATTCTGGGGGCTCGAACGAATGGTCCAAGAACTGCCCATCTCCATGAGGGGGCCGAGAGCATCGCGAAGACGGCCGATCACACTGCCCTGCGCGTTGGCTTCGATGTCCCGAAGAGATTTCAGACGCAGCGCCACAGGACTGCGCGGCGTAGCGAAGTTGAACCCAATCGGGGAATTTCTCCCGAAAGCACTTGAGGGCCGCTTGCACGCCTTCTTCGGAGGGAAACGCCATGATTAATTGCTTGGCAAAGCTCTGAGGGTTACCTTCACCATGTGAAAGGATAGCTGCCTCTGCCTGTTCGAGGATCTTCTTACTGAACCCCACCAGAACAGCTTCCAAATGATTGTCGTTAGGCAAGGCACCCATGAGTCCAGAAGCTTGTACGTTCTGTTGTTTTTCGAGAGAGGCAAGAAACCACGACTGTCACTGCTGATGCTGCGGCCGTCGCAATCGCTTTTCAAGTCAGGTAGTAGCGTAGTAGTATACTGCAGTTTTTACTTCTGAACTACACGTCTGTGTGAATAGCTTTGGTCACCAGGCTTGCTCTGAGCATGCAACATGTTTCATTGGTTCTTCTGAGTATCGCGGACCTCGTCCATACCCATGAGAATGAGCGGCACCTGAGACGCCAGGGTGGCGAGAGTATGTTGTTCATCCTGGGTGAGCGGCATGGCTGATCGCGATCAGGCCAATCGCGGGGCAAGAAGCAAGCAGGCAAGCAAAAGGCGAGCCGCATTGTCGGCAAGAGCTGCGCCAAGCTGATCGCCGGGGGCCTCCGGCTCTGCGCGCGCGGCAGGCGCGGCCATGGCAGCAGCCCACCCGCGCAACGACTTGATGCACATGGGGATCCCTTTCGGCGCGAGCCCAAAAGCCGAGGGTTCGATCCGCCGCCGGGCCGCCGCGAGGTACTTGCCGACAGCGATGCCTTCGGCAAACTTGACTGGCGCCTCCATCAAGCCCACAGTTCGAAACTTCCACGACCCGTCAGGCCGCCGCTTGCCCTGATTGACGGGCGCGAGCACGGCGGCACCCCAAAGCACGGCGTCTGCTGCAGCAAGTCGGTGGTGCGTGAACACCTCCACGAAGGCTGCCACCGCGGCCGGGCCATGCCGCGCCCTCGCGACGCGGAGAAGCAACACGTTCGACCAGCCGCTTGGTCCCGGCGCTGCCGCCGCGTTGAGATTGAAGGTCTCGCGCACGACGTCCCGCTGCGCCACGCGGATCGGACGCTGATGATGATGATGCTGATGATGATGATGATGATGATGATGATGATGATGATGATGATGATGATGATGATGATGATGGTGATGCTGATGATGGTTATTATGACGACGATGATGCTGATGATGATGCTGATGATGATGATGATGATGATGATGATGATGATGATGATGATGATGATGGTTATTATGACGACGATGATGCTGATGATGATGATGATGATGATGATGATGATGATGATGATGATGATGATGATGATGATGATAGGTGGATGGGTGTGCTCTTCTTGCGCGGTCCCTCTGGAAGATACCAAGCACGTAGACATTGCACAGAGATCAAGCCCAGCGCCGTCGAAGCCTGTCCATGGCAGAGGCCTTAAAAGCGTGTTGCCCTGGGGCCGAGGCGGCCACAACGAAGGTCCCAGACGGGCGCAGGAGGCGACTTCGGCCAGAGTGGCCCAGCTTGGCGCCAGAACGTGGGAACGCCAATCCTCGACGTGTGCGTGTGCCTGTTCGTGTGCGCGTGCGTGTGTACGTTTGGAAGACATGTTCCACCAGGCGCTCTGGCAAGCACAACCAAACTTAGAAAGCAGGGATTTGTCTGGTTGGGTCTAGACCATATGTGCCGCCAACCACAGTTTCGGGCATCAGACTGGCGACTCTTGCGTTCCGACAGCTTCGCCAGCACCATCGCGTCAATATCCTGGAAAGCTGGCGCATGGACCGCTTCAAGCATACAAGCTGTCTTCGGGCAAGTGCTGCATGATGACTGAGGCGAAAAGCGAATGGTAATACAAGGCAAACATAATAACAACAAAACTGATAACGATAACAACAACCAACAAGAGACACAAAAGTGCACCACCACCCAAAAGAAAACTGACCCAAAAAATGATGTGAACGCAGCACGCTGTGCTCTCCTCCCCTCGTGTTTGGCCCAGCCTGTCGCCTCGTGGCCCATCGGTGAGGAGGTCCTTCGGGTCCCATGTGGGCGGGAAGAAGAAGCCGCGGGACTCCTCCGCCCACACGTCCTAGCAGGTGGCAGGATGGATGATGCTTTCCGTTCCCCTCCTTTCGCCCCTGTGCGCGCGTGCTGGCAGGGGGGGGGGCATAACCGATCTTGTAGTGTTCGGGCCAGCCTGACGAGGCGGCGTGGTCGCCGAAAGCTTACACAGTGATCCTGCCAAACAAGAACTATCAAAATAATCACAGGCTTGAGATTATCGATTGTCTCGTTGTGCGGCTGGTTACTTCTTCCACACAACATCAACCCACACTGCACGACTGTCACTGTGACGTGCGACGGAACACCGCCGGACATGTCGGGAACGCCACGCGCGATGACATCCAAAGCAGCATGCCAAAGGAAAGAGACAACGGGATGCGACACATCCTGACAGAGTGGATACCTCGTCTCTCAGTGCCCCTCTCCCTCAAGCATTCCCCCTCTCGTCCTACACCATCCTTTGCCCAACAATCCTCCCTTTGGCCTTGTTTGAGCTTTCCCTAGGGCCCTCAGACGGGCTCACGAGGGCTTCAAGACGGTTTCAAGAGGGCCCCGAGACGGGTCCAAGAAGGTCCGTTGGCGCGCGAGGCCCAACTCTGTGCATAGATTGGGGCTCGGGGGTCTCGAGTCTCGAGGGTCCAGGGCCTCACGTGGAGCTCTCTTGGGTCCTCCTGGGACTCGCTTGGGCTTCCCGTAAGGCCCTGAGACGGGTCCAAGGGGCCACAAGACGGCTTCAAGATGGCCCAAAGACGGCTTCAAGAAAGCTCTAAGGCGGGTTCAAGAAGACCTCGATGCGCGCAAAACCCAACTCTATGCATAGAGTTTGGGCCCTTCGGCTTTCTGGGGGGGCTCGGGGCTCACATGGAGCTTTCTTGGGGTCTTCTTGGGGATTGTTTACGCTTTTCCTAGGGCTCCCAGATGGGGCCAAGTTTGCTGCCGCTTGGTTTTCCCGAGGCTCTTTGAGGGGCCGTGACAGAGCAGCAAGGGAAGCCCAAGAGGGCCTCCAAAGAGGGCTCCTTTAGGGCTTTCAATGAGCTTTCTGGGGCCACCCTGGGTTTTCCTTTGGCGTTTCTTTTTGCTTGTCTGGGGCAGGCACGCTTCCGATCAACTCGGACAGGACGAACTCGGCCAGCTCAACTGGGCCGAGATCAACTTGCCCGGATTAACTCAACGGGCTCAACTCGGACCCGGACGAACTCGGCCAGATTATCTCGGCCAGGGCTCAATTCGTCCCCGATCAAATCGGCCAGGCGTCAACTCGGCTGGGCTCAACTCGGCCGGGGTGCAACTCGGCCTTACTCAACTCGGCCGGACCAACTCGGCCGGGCCTCCGGCTGCGGCGGGCTGCCGAGATCAACCCCGCCGGCTCAAATCGGCCAGCTCAACTCGGCCAGGATGAACTCGGCCAGGCCGAACTTGGCCAGGCTCAGCTCGGCCAACCCTGAGCTCAGCCGCTGGCCGAGTTGAGCCTGGCCGAGTTGTGCGTGGCCGACTTGAGCATGGCCGAGTTGAGCGGAATCGGGCCTGGCCGAGTTGAGCCTGGCCGAGTTCGGCGAGTGTCTTTCGGCACACCCTTCACACGCTTCGTGGCCCCATGAGGAGCTCCACCGACGGCCCCAGCGGCTGCTTCAGCATGCGCCCACCGAGCAAATTTGACACACCCCTCACACGCTTCGTGGCCCCACAAGGAGCTCCACCGACGGCCCCGGCGGCTGCGTTCGCATGCGCTCACCGCACCCATTTTGGCACAGCTCTCACACGATTCGTGGCCGCGTAGGGAGCTCCACCGACGGCCCCAGTGACTGCGTTCGCATGCGCCCACCGCACTAATTTCAGCACTCCTCTCACACGCTTCGTGGCCCCATAGGGAGCTCCACCGACGGGCCCAATGGCCGCGTTCGCATGCGCCCACCGCACCCATGTTGGTACACCCCTCGCACGCTTCATGGCCCCACTGGGAGCTCCACCAACGGCCCCAGAGGCTGCGTTCGCATGCGCCCACCGCACCAATGTTGGCACACACACACACACACATCACACGCTTCGTGGCACCATAGGGAGCTCCACCGACGGCCCCAGCATCCGCGTTCGCATGCGCCCACTACGCCGATTGTGGCACACCCCTCACACGCTTCGTGGCCGCGTAGGAGGTTCCACCGACGGATCCAGTGGGTGCGCACCGCACCCATTTTGGCACACCCCTCACACGCGCCGTGGTCCCATCGGGAGGCTCACCGACGGCCCCAGGGTCCGCGTTCGCATGCGCCCACCGCGTCCACCTTGGCACGCCCCTCACACGCTTCGTGGCCGCGTAGAGAGTTACACCGACGGGCCCAGTGGCTGCGTTCGCATGCGCCCACCGCAAGCATTTTGGCACACCCCTCACACGCTTCGTGGCCCCATAGTGAGCTCCACCGACGGCCCCAGTGGCGTTGTGGCACACCCCTCACAGGTTTCGTGGCCCCAGGGAGCTCCTCCGAATGCGGTGCAGCCAATCAAGGTATTCACAGCTGCATATGGTTGGGTCTTTCGCCAAGCTAATGTTGAACCAGTGGCTGCGTAGAACACGCGTGCGGTATGAAGCGAAACCGCGACATGGTAAGAGAGCGAAGGCGAATGTGGTATGGATGGCAGGCACTGCGGTATGCTGATGGGTGATGGATCGTAACAAACAAGTCTGAAAGTAGTGGCCTGCGTAGATCTACCATGTGCGTAGCGTATTTGCTTGTTCTAGCTATCGCCGACGTGATACATCGCTTACTGTATGTAGTATGTAGGGCTTGTTCTGCGGGCAGTTGCAAGTGTGCCTGTTCTAGTGGCCTTACAAGTCGGTCTCTAGCCTGACCTGGTCGCACCGTAGCTTGTTTCTCTAGTCATCGTCAATGTGGTACATCTGGTACCCCTAAAGGATGATGAAGATGAGGTGGGCGGGCGGATGAACCGAATGTATGCTTTCATAGAAAACGCAGCATGCAAGGTACGATGTAGGGCTTGACGTAGTACGCACAGGTACGTAGGGGTGTACCTCAGGGGAGGGGCGTGCCCGAGGTCTGCGAAGATGTAGGCCACGAAGTAGTGTGTGTACGGCACGGCAGGTCTATCACTCCTAGATTGTGTCCGACTTCCATTTCTCGCCCACGTCGCCCTTGTAGTAGACCACCCCGCTCCCCATGTAGTCGTACCATCCATTTGGTATCCGTCGTCGACGTATGACTGGCACGCGGTATCCATGAACTGGGCCAGGTCGAAGTCATGCTGGTTCTTGGTGATGCGTTTGCCTTTATAGCAGCTCTCCTCGACGTCGGCGCACTCTAAATTGCAAAAGCGTGCGCGGTACCCTCATCCTCCTCCTCCTCCTCCTCCTCCTCCTCCTCCTCCTCCTCCTCCTCCTCCTCCTCCTCCTCACGCACACAGCGAGCCCGAAAGTCCGAACAGGCAGGCCTTAAAGTGCCTAGACGGTACTACAAAAACCGCACACGCGCAAACACAACGGGAAAGAGACGGGGAAGGGGAAAAGAGAGAGAGAGAGAGAGAAGACAGGGACAGAGCAGAGAAGCTGCCTCCCCCAGCTCCTGCACGGTGACGCGGTCACCACGAAGGTGAAAAGTGCAGGAGGGGGGAGGAGGAAAGGCCCGACTGCTGCTGTGACCACATCTCCTCTGATCCCTATCATCCCTGGGCCTCTCCTTAAAGGGCAGCTGTAACTCGACCCACACCAGCGCCCTAACAAACTGGAATGGGGAAGAGAAACGACACCGACGACTGAGAGTTCCCCAACCAAAACATACACACATGTGTATATAATAAACCTTAACTCTCCGTCACGGTCGGTGTCGGTTTCGTCAGTCACATCCTGACCAAAGGAGCGCAAGTCCGGACGATACCTGGAGATGCGACCCCAACGGACACATGACTTACGAAGGACTGCCTTGCGCAGGCCCGCCTGCACGTCCAGCCTGCGCTTCAAACTCTTGACCCGCGCCTTTAGCGCAGTCACAGAGTTGCGCTTGGCGGCAAGCAAGGGCTTGGCAGCAGCAGCACTGGGGGAAGCCTTAGGCTGGTCCTCCTTCTCCTCCTCCTCCTCCTCCTCCTCCTCCTTCTCCTCCTCCTCATCCTCCTTCTCCTCCCCCTCCCCCTCCCCCTCCCAATCCCCTTCCCCCTCCTATTCGTGCGCCCGAGAGGCTCCCCACCCCAGCCTCCCCCCCCTCCCCACTGGAGGCCCTCCTCGGCTCCTACCAGCGGCAGCAACACGCAGACCAGCAACGCGTTCTCGTGGAGCGCGAAATGCCGCTTGATCTGCTCCCGGACCACCGGCCAAGCCTCCACCGGCACTGAGTCCTGCCCGCCACGGAGCCCGCAGGCCTGGCCATCTCAGCGTCCCCCGAGCAGTTTCGGTTGGGCACTCCCAGGACCAGGTCCGTGATTTTCGACCTCGCGCGATCGCGGCCTAGAGGGTTTTCATGTCCACGGCTGGGCACTCCACCAAGCATGGGTCCCGTGGTGATCCCTCTGGTGCTGCCGGCGCTGCTAGTAGATACCCGGCTTCTGGCACGACCTGGCTCCCAGAGCTGTGCTTGCGCTGCGGCGGCTCCTTGGCCGATTCCGACTAGGTTGGAGCCAGGCTTTGCGAGTTCTGGCGGCCGCCCTGGTGCCCCACGGGCTGTTGTGCCCTGGGATACCCCAGCTATCGCGATTTCTGGCTGCCGCCCTGGTGCCCTATAGGTGGTACCCTGTGGCATGCGCACCAGAATGCCCCAGCTGTCGCGATCTCTGCCTGCCGCACTGGTGCCCTATGGCTAGCGCTGTACAGCTGATGCCCTATGATACCCCATGGTTCCCTGTGGCCGATGCCCCCACGCAGTCGCGATTTCTGGATGTCCCCTTGGGCACCGCGTGGATTGCACCGAACGCGTTGCATCGTGCAGACTACACCCCACAAATGGCACTCCGCGATCTCCAGGAGCGCACGGTTTGAGGCCCGCGCTGGCAACCAAGGACGAGGACGCGGAGGACGAGAAGGACGAGGAAAAGTGTTCCTTCCCAGCGTGCCACTAAACGGCTGTCGGTCGCTGTCGTCGATAGGTGGTCGCGCCTTGTGTTACTGGCGTCTGAGTCTACCCCAATCTCCAGAACGTGAACGTCCCTCGCTCTGACCCGGCTGCTTGCACCGTGGGGTCACATCGGCCCTTCGAGTCTCCTGTGAAATATGGGACATGCTGAAGTACACACTTGGGGAGGCGCAACTTCCTTGGCCAATCGCATATTAAGAACTTTGATACGCAACGGCACCATACCCCCACGTGCAGCGACTCAAGATATTGTCACTCCACCCTCTGGGTGGAATGCGCCTGCTGCACAGCACGCCCGTGTACCCAGCCCGATGTTCATAAGTACATGTTTGACTCGAACTCCCCATTGGAACATCGTGCCGCCTCGATGGCACATTGTACCCTCGGGACCAATAGAACATGATCTTGACTTGGAGGCGGCCAGAGGCAAATTCGCTCAATATCGGTCCACAAATCCCTCCCGGGTGGAAATTGACCGCTTCCAACCGTGGCGACGAGGGGGCCCCTTTCTCTCCCCCTTCCTCGGGCCGGAACCAGCACTGGGACACCTCAGCCCCCCAGCCCTCGCCCCGTTTCCATTTCGGAGCAGTACTTTCTAGAGATGAAGGAAAAGAGCCGAAGAGACGATCGACGGATAGACCAAATAAGATGGCATGCTCTTCAACTGAGTAATCAGGAAGGCCACCGCCGTCTGCTGAGAGAGAACGACCGTGCGACCAAACGATTGAACAGAAACAAAGCTGGCAAGGACGTCGACGGCGGCGACGACGAACCGGAAACGTTTGATTCGTCCACTTCCCAATGGGGCGCTGCGCCCCCCCGGGTATTTCTTGATCGCTTGGTCGCATCAGAGGGGACCGGCTCAGAGGGAGAAACATGGAGCTGGAATCAGCGACACATCGCCGACAGATCGGGGATGGGCTCTCGAAAGCCAATCCGCACGCGTGGATTATCGGGCCCCCTATCGGCAATGCATGGGCGATCCGGGGTCGATGCATTTCCCCCTGAGCCAGCCCCCCTGACGTTGCCCTTTTTTGTTTTCGGGTCATACCTCGGCTCTTCGGCAGCCGCTTGGGACGACCCGGGCACCCCTGGAACGCTCTCGACGAGGAACGGCTGATGGAAACCACCTCTGGACCAGAAAACCTGCGAAAACCTCCGAGGCCGATGACAATACAAACAAAAAACGCCCAGCAGACGATTCTGTCCAATGTGTTTCGGCCCCGGAGGTTCTCGAAGGTACCCCCGAAACACCAGGCCAATGCCGCCTCGTTTGGCGACGGAGCGCGCCGATTTCGTGTGGAAACAAGAACCTTCGCTAATCCACGCGCCTTAACTTCCTCGAATCAGGTCCCTTTTCCCAATTCCAGGGCGATCGGGGGTCGATGCGCCTCACCTGAGCCTATCCCCCTCCCTGACGCTGCCCAGAAAGATGGGGTCTGGGGCTCTGGTCGTGATGTTTCACCATGCTGCACTTCTTCGCGACGTCGGATCTCAGGGTGGATCGCCGCCGTCACCGCCGTAAGTCGCCGAGCATCGGCCGTCTGTCTTCGGACGCCGCCGCCGCCGCAGTCGTCGTCGGTCGCCGCCGCCGCCGCCGTCGGTTTCAGACGTCATCTGACGCACTGGTGTGTTCAGCACGAGGTCCCCGCAGTCCTGGCCCTTTCCCCAGGGCCAGCGTTCCATCCCGAGTCGTTGATGTGACAGTCCAAGGGCCAGACGTTTGTTGACAGCCCCGAAAACTGTGAACAGCCTCCGCGACTACAGCCAGACCTAGGACAGAACACCCTTCAAGACCATGAGACCCTCCGCCGGCCAAACTTAAGAACGTTCGAGGGTACCCCCCCAAGATGCACAAGAACATCCAACGAGCAAAAATAACATTTGGGTATGCCCTCCCCGAACCGACCTCGATCAAATACTACCTCGGTCCAGCCGTAATCTTTTCACACGTCCCAAACCTGGGGCCGCCGCCGCCGCAGCCGCGTCGGTGACCACCGCCGCCGCCGCTCCGCCCCCGAGAGCCCCGCAGGATGAGCCCAGCCGCGTCTCCGTCGGCGCCCTCGCCGCCGCCGCCGCTCGCCGCAGCTCGCCGCCGCCGCCGCTCGCCGCCGCCTCCTGAGATCCCGCGTCTCGGAGAAAATGCATCTCGGGCGCGGCCTCTAACCGACCCTGGCAGACCACAGTTCAAGCTTCCCTCCGGCTGCACACCTAATTACGCCTTGGAGCGAGGCGAGGGGGACGTCACAGCAGGGGATGATTTGCTAGGGGTCGGTCCGTCCGCCCCTGAGCATAATCGTGAAAAATCACGACCCCGAAACCGAGATGCAAGGCCCCGCCCGAAAAGCTCGAGACGCCCAGATCTCAACGCTACTCGCCGCCGCCGCCGCCGCAGTCGGTGATACAAAGATGGGGTCCTGAGGGATGGAGTCGCAAAGACGAGGTGCCACAAACAACTGGAATCCACCCTTAGATCTCTTCCTATCCTCAGGCCCTCATCCGTCAGGACCCCATCTTGGAACCACCGACGCAGGTCGCCCCAGCCAGCGGCCGCCGCCGCCGCCGGCCGCCGCACCGCCGAGCGGACCCCGCTGCAGCGGCTCGGCGGCGAGCCCTGGGGGGAAGTGAGAAGGGACGCGCCTTCTCAGGAGGCTCCGAGGTCCCCCGGCCTTCTGAGCAGTTGCCTATACGCCTTCCCCCGAGACGCGCAGAATCTCTCGGGCCTTCTGGGAGGCCCCGCCGCCTCCTGAGAGGGCCCTCTCCTCCTCGAGCCCTCCCGTCGGCGGTGGACAAACCTCCATTTAGTAAACCTCCCCTTAGTGAAAACGGCCCGGGACCGAAACCGACGGACCTGGACCCGCAAAAATGACGGCCGCGACGCCCTCTCGCGAACCGAAAACGGCCAATTCCCTACTCGACGTGTCAGGGTAGGAGGTCTATCCACCTCCGACCGTCCCCCCCGCTCGCTCGCAGCCGAGCGGCCCCCGGCGCGCGGGGGAAGCGAGGCGCCCAGCTCCTGCCCGGGCAGCCCGGCCCCCTGCACCCGCCGCCCCCGCTGGCGTGCCCAGCCGGGGGCCCCTGGCGCGCCCTCGCGCGGCCGACGGAGCAAGCAGGAGGGCAGCCAGGCACGCGTCGTGAAGAAATCCGGCCGGAAGGTCTTCCGTCGCTTGCGGCTCTGGGGCCATCGCCCGGCCCCAGGACCGCCAACAAAAACGACTCGGGGTGCAAAAAAAACAGCCCTGGGGAAAGGGTAGGGACTTCCGGGGACCGCGCATTGAAACTTGTAGCGCCCAAAAACCGGATAGTAGCGCAGTCCCAAGCGCGCGAGATGCCTGTGGGAGACTCATGCAAGGACGGTGGAAAGCATGCCTGGGGAGCTTGCAAACTCGAGAATAAAGCTTCGCAAGAGCTCCTGGAGAGCTTCGAAGGAGCTGAGGAAAGGCTTGTGGCACGCGTATTGGGAACGAGTAGGAAAACAGCTTCGGGGACCCGCTGCAGCCTCAAGCAGGCTGCTGCGGGGATGCCTGCCCAGGAGCCTTGGAGGGGAGCTGGCGTAGCCCTGCCTGCCGGCTTCTCTTTTGAGACCCTCTTCGCTCTCCAAGGAGCTATCCGGGAAAAGTCAAAACTGTGCGCGTACGCGTGCCTGGGGAAGGTACACCGACACCGCTCCCTGAGATCCTGGCTTACAATTCTTCCACACCTGCCATTTTCGCCCAGCCTCGGGCCCCTGGACCCTCACAAATCAATCTGGCTGAAGAGATGCCGCAGAACGAGTGGACTTCACGATGTGATGTTTCACGATATTGCAGGGGGGGGCGAGGTGTCAGAGGGTCCTTTCTGGCCCAAGATGGCTCCAAGAGGGCCCCAGAGAGCCCAAGATGGTCTCCAAGATCACGCAAGATAACCCAACATAACTAAAGATAGCGAACAGCATGCCTCCAAGAGGCCCCAAGAGGGCCACAAGACGGATCTAAGTGCTTCTGAAGACCCCTCAGGACCTTCCCGAGAAGTCAACATCCGTCAAAGGCCTAAAGGACATCGATCATGTTGGCCTTCTCGTCTCTTCGCTTCCGATGCGCTTTTGAGGCCTCAAGATGGCCCCAAGATGGCCCAAGAGAGCTCCAAGAGGGGCCCAAGAGGCCCCCAAGACGGCCGCAGAAGCGCCCAAGATCGCCCCAAGAGCGCCCCACGAGACGATTTCGAGGGCTCTTAGGGGGGGGGGGCTGGATAAGGGACCCCCCTTTTGATCGATGGCCTCCAAGATGACCCCAGGAGGCCCTCCGAAGCTCCCAGGAGAGCCCCCAAGAGAGCCCCAAGAGGGCCCCAAGAGGGGCCCCAAGAGGGCCACAAGACGCCCCAAACGATCCCAAAGAGGAGCCCAAGACCCCCCAAAGAGCCCCAAGAGGTCCCCAAGATGCCCCCAAAGAGCCCCAAGAGGACCCGAAGACGCCCCAAAAAAGCCCGGCAGCTCTCCTCTCTTTGACCGCTCTGTTTCACTATATGCGTCTCTGCTTTCCGTTTCCCGTCAGCTCCCGTGGGCAGGGCTTCTGAGCGGGCTGGCGGGGAGTCTTTTGTTCAACAGGCTCGCGAGGCGGGTCGAAAGCCTCCGAACACTAGTCGGGCCGCGACTAGGCAACGCTGGCGGGGATTCGCGAAGCGTAAACAATCTCCCTCCTCCTTCGCCCATCGTCCCATGGGGGCCTGGAGTCCAGATCCCCACAGGACGATTGGCGAAGGAGGAGGACGATGGCAGTGCCGTGAAGACGTGCTCTCGCTGCTCTTCCGAGGGCCGTCGGCCAGGCCCAGGGCTCTTTGGACCAGAGGGTTGAAGAAGAGGGCCAGGGGGCAATGCGGCGACTGGGGACAAAGGACGATGGAGGAGGGAGGAGAACGGATGGGGAAAAGAGCCCCTCCTTCGCTACGAAGGACAAGGGCTCCTGAGAGAAACGCGTGCGGAGCACGCCAGGGGCGGCGCGGGAGGCGCCGCAAGTGGGGGCCCAACGCCAGCCCAAGAAATCCACGCGGACCTCCGAAATATTATGTTTACGCCGATTTTTGTTTGACAGAAAATGGGCTTCCCAAGAAAAATATGGTGCTGCAGTAATCGTGTCCCAGACCCGCGGGCCTTCGCCAGGAACAACTCATCCTGAAACGTGTTTGACGGTCCTGGGGCCCGTGGAGGGCCCTTGGGAGCCCCAAGACACCCACAAACCTGGATCCGCTTCCCCCAGGACCCCTGACTGAGGGGGGGAGCAGTGGGGAGGACCAGCTTCGCGGAGGGGCGGAAGGGGCGGGGGCGGGGACACATCGACCTGGAATCGGCGGTGCATCACCGATAGATCGTTGATACGCCCCATATGTAGGCGATGAGTGGACGATTGGGCATAGATGCATCCCCCCAGACCCTAAACCCTGAGATGCGACGTCTCAAAGACAGACATCCTGAAAAGTCACGACTGGAGCCGCAGACCTCACCCTTCTGCACCATGTCTCGAGATCGATAAATCTGTGAGGGTCCTGGGGCCCGAGTCAGGGCGAAAACGCCCAACTCGAAAAAGTTGAGACGCCAGGATCTAAGGGTCCCCCCGAATGCTCCCCCCTTGCAGCCATCGTGCAACCATAAGAAACGCAGAGTAAGGCGCGAAGGGGCTTTCTGGTTCGAGGCGGGCTTGGGCCGCAGACGAATTCCACGACAGAAGCCTCGGGGGCGGCCCTCCAACCGGAGCCCCTCCAGAGCCCGAGCTGGTCCTCATCACAGCGTCCTGACTGCGATGGCCCGTCAGGGCGAGGGAGGCCCATCCTGGGCCCCGGGAGGCACACACACGGTCCCAGCCCTCCCTCCCTGGCCAGGGAGGCACACACACACACACACCGCTCCCGGGCTCAGGATGGGCCTGGCCACGGGCAGTGGCTACGCCCCCAGACATGCGACGCTTTGATGTTTCAACACGCGGCCCCCGGAAGTGCCGACCCCCTCCCCAGAGCCGGCATTTCGTCCCGAGCCGTTCTCTGACGGTCCCGAGGCCCAGCGAGGGCCCCTGGAGGCCGAAAACGGCCTAAAGCCTTCCGTCCTGATATTTCGACGACGCGAGCATGCCTGGGCACGGGCAATGGACTTATATAGATCTCGTCGCCCGATCATGGCGAGGGAATGAGAAGGGATGGTCAGCATTCGGGCTGCGCACGAACAGCCCTTCAGGTAGTCTTGGCTGGCCTCAACAAGCCTCCCGAACAGTCTGGGGCGGTCCCAACACATCAACCCTCGGGCGCGGAGCGCCCTAGGAGCGCCGCCGGAGGCGGCGCCAGGGTGTTGAGACCGCCCCAGACTACTCGGAGAGCCTGTTGAGGGCAGCCTGGACCACCTGGGGCCTGGGGACGGCTGTCTGAGCGCAACCCGAAGACGCAGCGACAAAAACTGTCACATCGTGACAAATCACGGCCGGAGCCCCAGACCCCCGCTTCCTGCGCCATGAGCCAGACACACATATGTCCAGGCCCTGGGGCCCGAAACCGGGGCGAGCACGCCTGGCTCGAAAAGATCGTTACGCCCTAGGGCCTCGGGGCGCCAGGGCGGGAGCGGGGGCCAAGGCACCTGGCCCTGCGCCGTGGAAACTCGCAGGCGGGGGGGGGGGGGGCACACGGCGGGGCTCGGCGGGCAGCCGCCTCCGGGACCGCCGGCGGGCTGCCGTGGGCCTCCGCGGGGCCCAGCCAGAAGAGCTTCGGGAGGATGGCGGCGCGCGCGCCGGCGGGCAGCGAGGCGGAGAGGTCGTCGAGGCTCGAGGTGTACCAGCCTCTCGAGGGTGTAGGGAGAGGTCGTCGAGGCTCGAGGTCGTCGAGGCTCGAGGCCTGTCTCCGCTCGTGTTGTTGGAAGGGGGCGCATTCTTCTGCGGCGCGGGGCCGAAGCCTGGACGCATGGCAAAACCGCGCTCGGCTCGGGCGCCGCGGCGCACGGCGTCACTCACCGAACAGTGCCCTGCACGGCAGCCCAGAGGCACCGGCCCTCGCTCGCGCCGCGCCGCGCCGACGGCCACGACGCGGCGTGCAGTCCTCGCGCGCCCACGACGGGCGAGAGGCAAGGCATGCGGGGGGCCTGCTGGCCACAGCGGGCTCTCTGGCCCAGGTCTGAGGAGAGGCCCGGGAGAGAAGGCAGAGCCCCTCTGTGGGCCCAGAGCGGTCCAAGCTCAGGCTGCTGGTCGTGCTCGGCTCGTCCCTCCGACCCTGGGAAGGGGATGGCGAGATTGGGTCGATGGGCGCCCCGATGGCATCTCGGGGGGCGTGGGGGGGGCTTGTCGGCCCCGAAAAGGGTACGGAAAAATGGATACGATGCCCAACAACACATGTTGTCCAAGACCGACAGCGGCCGCTGTTGGGCAGGCGGCTGTCTGCCTAGAATTAACCACGTCCGCGGTGAGATCGACAGCGAGTCGTGTTCAGAGTGGACAGAAACTGCTGTCGGTCGTTGTGCCAATAGTTCCCGCATCCACTTCGTTCGTGCCAAATGGAAAACACCGCTCTCCGTAAACATCCCTTCCCCCTCCGAGGCGTCCGCCCGGGCGCAGTGTGGAACTCGCGCTGCAGCGCAAGTGGATGCCAAGCTACAGACCCCACGCCCCAGAGGCAGACTCGAGCGGCACGACGAGTGCAGCTAGCTTCTTCCTGTTGGGCGAGAGGGAGAGGGAGGAGCAAGAGCGAGCCCGACGGGTGTCCACGAAGCGAGGCGGCCACAAGTTAGGAGAGGGCATGAGAAGAGGTGGCGAGGATGGAGGCGCAAGCAGGCGCGACTGGTTGCTCTCCCCGTTCCCCTGGGCACTGGGAGAAATGGGTGGCAATCATGAACGCCACCGGCCCTGCACGCCACGAGCCTCCTGACAATGACAGCCTAAAGGCATACCTAGAAAGTTGGCTGCGGGCAGGCTGAATGACAAGCCTGACAGGCAAGCGAAAGGCAAGCGACAAGGAACGGGGTGGGGGGGAACCGAAGAAACCGGCGGGATGCTCTCGAAGAGCGGGTGGGAGTCATTACGGGGAGACGCCAGACTCGAGTTTGACATGAATTTGCCTGACATGGTCGCCAGAAAGATGAAAAGACCTAGTGTGGAATCTGACGTGAACTCCCACTGCAAACATCCCACGGAGAAAACGCCAAAATTCACACCGGGCCTCAAACAACGGCGGCAGACCCAAGTTCCGGCAAACTCGGATCTCACGCGTCCCCGATCCTTGAATCAGGGGAATGGCGACAACCGGCGGCTCTCTGGCCCGGCCCACATCCGATCAAAATCGGGCCCCCGACCCCCTGGGGTCCATCCTGGCCCAGCTTTCGAAGCGGGCCCAGCCATGGCGACAAGAAGCCCCCAGGAGGCCCAGAAAGGACAAGAACCTCAGGGGACGGCCGCCGTTGTCTCGATTGGCCCTCCTCCGACTGCAAAGTAGTCGCCGACTCCGAGGGAGGTAGCGGGTCCATCCGGCTCGACGAAGTACGGTCAGGAACTTCGGCTGAGCGTGTCGCGGCGGCGGCCGAGGCGACACGCCACGCCCTGCAAGCGGGCAGCGCGTCGCTTTGCCCCGAGTGGCGGGAGGCTGGGGAAGGCTGAGAGGCTCGGAACACTGGTGCTTGTGGACCAGGGCGTGATTAGCGTGTCGCGCCGAGGCGTGATGGGCCAGAACTGGCGAGAACAGCTCGGGACGCTGACGCTTGGAGACTGGGACGTGGTTAGCATGTCGCGCCCGGGCGAGGCGGGCCGCAACCAGCGGCGCGACTCCCTGTGCAAGCGCTACTGGAGCAGGTGCCTGTGGAGCCCCAGGTCCAGCCTGCTCTGGGCGCCGTCCTCTGCCAGGGTTCGCGTGGTTTCCCCTGCCTTGCCCTCTCCTCGCGGAGCGGGGGCCGCAGAGAAGCGGCTGCACGCAGGACCCATCCCGGGCAAGAGGGGCCTTTCGTGCGCGGCTTGCCGATCGCTGCGCCGTGCGGCAGTGGCGGCCGGAGTGCTCGAGCGTGGCCCCCAGGCCCCGCCGGGGCTGGCAGTGGTGACGGGCGGCACGGTGGCAATGAGGAAAAACCATGTCGCGCAACCCGGCGACATATAGAGAACCACGTGCACGCTTGAGCCGCCATGGGCGGCGGGCGGGCGCGGGCGCTCGCGGGACCCTTGTCGAGCGAGGGGGAGACAGGCAGACGAGAAATGGGGAACGCTGCCCAACTGCAAATGCTGTCCAAGACCGACAGCGGCCGCTGTTGGGCAGGTGGCGTTCCGTCTCAAACGGACAACGTCCGCGGCGGCACCCACAGAAGTCATGTTCAAAATGAAGAGGAACTGCTGTCGGTCTTCGTACCCTTTCTTTCCGTACCCATCTCGATCGTACCGACCAGTTGAAAGCCGCTCGCCAAAAGTCACTCCGGCGCCAGGTCACTCCAACGCGCAGGAAGGCCGATGGCCCCACGACATCGGCGCAAGTCGCGGGCAGCGCCCGCGCGCGCAAAAGGCCCCCCCCAAACCGAAGCGCCGAGGGCCGCTGGCAAGGCGGGGCTGCCCCTGCACGGCCTGTCACAGAACGTTCGACGACGACGACGACGACGACGACGACGACGACGACGACGACGAGAATGACGACGACAATAACGACGAAAACAACAAGGACAACGACGACGACGACGACAAGGATGAGGACGACGACGACGAGGATGACGACGACGACGACGACGACGACGACGACGACGACGACGACGACGACGACGACAACGACGACGACGACGAGGCGGGCTGCCCCGTCACGGCCTGTCACAGAACGGTTGTGGGGCCGCGGCGACTGCCAACGTTTGCCCTCGATCCGGGAGGATCGAGGACCGGCGGCGAGCCTTGGGGGGGAAGTGCGAGGGGGCAGGCCTCCTCGGCAGGCGGCGGGGCTCCTCGGACCCCCCCCTTGGCCTCCCGAGGAGCCGCCTGCGTCTCCGGAGCAGGCTCGGCAAGCTCCTCGGAAGGCCGGGGGCCTCCCGAGCCTTCCGGGAAGGCCCGCCCCCCCCCGGGGGCTCGCCGCCGATCGACCCCGGAGGATCGAGAGGGGCTTCTTTGTGCTGCGCTTCGGACGCGCTGGGCTCCCCGCGGGCTTCCCAGGGCTCCGGGGACGCCCAGGGAAGTCCAGAGACCTCTGGGGTCAGGAACCGGGGCGAAGGCAAAAACTCACCAGCGGCGACTCCTCCTCCTCCTCCTCCTCCTCCTCCTCCTCCTCCTCCTCCTCCTCCCCCTCCTCCTCCTGCCTTCTGCCTCCTCCTCCTCCACCTGCTGCCTCCTCGTCCTCATGGAGCACGCAGGCTCATGTTCCTCAGCGCCGCCGCCGCCTCAACCAGTACCCGACAGGGGAGGGGGAGGCGGCCGCGGGGGGAGACAGAGAAGGGAGCGCCGACCTATCACAGCCCAAGAATCCGAAGTCTGAGGTCTGGACCGCTTCCTAGCACCGCCTTTTCTTCCCGATTCGTTGTTTGACAATCCCGCGGCCCAGCAAGGGGCCCCAGAAGTTGAAAATTGTCAAAAACCTTCCGTCGCTTGTTTTCACGACGCGCGGATGTCAGGGGGCACAGAACACTTGGTAAGCTCGTTGAGCTATGCGTGCCCTGCCCCCTAATTGTTCTTACAAGCGCTGGAGCACTATTTTTCCCGCCGATTTCAACTTTTCGCTCCTGCCTCGACCAGAATGTGCTTAAAAAAGAAACCCCAGAAAGAAAGCAAATTGCATCAACAACGCAACGACAACAGTGAGAAGACGGTCAGGTGGGCCACGGGCCGATCCTGGACCTGAAACCGAAACACAAACTGCGCCCAACATGTGCAAACAACGTCGATCTTCGACAACGTCGATCTTCAAGATAATCAAACCAACAAACAAGCAAACACGCAAACAAGCAAACAAGCAAGCAAACAAACAAACACGCACACACACACACACACACACACATTCACACACACACACACACACACACACACACACACGCACGCACGCACGCACGCACGCACACACACACACACACACACACACACACACACACACGCACGCACACACACACACACACACACACACACACGCACACACACACACACACACGAACAACCAGACGCAACTCTGCGTCTTGGGAAACATCTGAGCCCTGCCCCCCTCCGACGCCCGACACAGGCGCCCCCGGGGGCAGCCTACGCAGCAGCCTGCGTTGACCTCGGGCGGCGTCCTCCAGGCCGTGCCGGCGCGGAAGTCCTCCAGGGGCCTCGGGAGCGGGCGCGGGGGAAGCGACGCAGGCCCGGTGAGGCTTCGGGCTGCGCGCAGACCCGCCGACCTCAGCTGACCTCGGCAGGCCCCCCGAGTGGCCCCCAGGTAGTCCCGGCGGACCTCAGCAGGCCCCCCGAGGTAGCCCCAGCTGGCCTCAACCGGCCCCCCGAGAAGTCTGGGGCGGTCTCCACACTCCGGCGGCGCCCCTGGGGCGCTCCGAGCCTCAAAGGTTGCTGTCGGTCTACAACCCGAACCCTTGCCACCGAGACCCCCTGGCGGTGCGAAAAAAACGAGACCCCCAGATCGGGGCGCTGCATGTGTTGTACTTTTCGAGCGAGCAGAGGGATGCATGGAACTCCAGCCACCCCCGCCTGTCGCACGATAGGAACATAGGCTGCACACGTGGGGGCAAACATTGAGTGAACAGCCTTGGGGCAAACATTCAATGCATGGCCCCTGTGCTTCACCTGTCGCAACAGCGCAGAGGAACGAGCCGGGCGTTGCAATTCTGTTAGCACAGAGCGCTTTCGCCTGGTTTCGGCCGCCGGGACCCTCACAGGTCGTTCCGGCTTGCAACCTGCCAGAGGCAGATGAAGTCTATGGCTACGGACGTTATCCGTCTCGATGCTGTCATGTTTCGCCACGTCGGATCCTAAGGGACCGACGCCTTTGACTGTTCTCGGTCTCTGGGGGGCCCTCGCTGGGACCTGGATCCGTCTAAGATGAGAAAGCGGTCCCAGGGAATGGGTCGAGACGTCCGCGGGACCACGTTCTGAGAAAATGGCGACGTCGGGGGTCTGAGGAGGGAGGGGCAGGAGGGATACGCTTACTCCCTCGGTCTGGTGCTTCACGTCTTTCCCTGATAGCTTCTCGCTGTGGTGCGTCGAATACGGTCAGGAACTCCGTTGTACGCTGGGGAGTAGCATTGTAGACAACATTGTGCATCTGAATACGGCGTCGGACGTCCGGGAAGGGTGGGGCAGGGGGCTGCGCTCACCCCCTCGGTCTGGTGCTCCATGTTGTTGCCTACTAGCGCCTCGCTTTGGGGTCCTCATACGGTCAGGGACTTTCTCATGCCCTGCAAGCTCACAGCGTGTCGCTCCGCTCCGCGGGGCGGGAGGGCGGGAAAAGCTCGGGGCGCTGAGGCTTGGGGACTGGGGCGTAGTTGGCGTGTCGCGCCGCGGAGTGGTGGGCCAGGACTGGCGGCGCGACGCGCTACGCAAAAGCTCCTGACCAGAATAGAAGTAACAGCGAGTCCAGGACCTCACCCAAGGGAGGTCTCAGCGGCCGCACGCGCGCCAACGGTGCCGTGCAGGCCCGCGGCGATGGCTCGCTGCCGTCGCCTGTCTTCTATCGCGTGGGATGCCTCTTGGGCGACCATGCCAACATCTGTCCCAAATGTGCTCGATCACTTGATGCGGGACCTGTTAAACACATGGTAAACCAAGAAATGCGTGTTCAATGGAATGTGCCATACACTGCTCCGACTTCAGGAGCCTCTCCGGAGCCTCTCGGGAGACTGTCAGAGGAGCCTCTCAGGAGCCTTTCTGGATCCTATCAGGAGCTTATCAGGAGTCTCTGAACAGCCTCTCGGAACCTTCTCGTGCGCTTTTCAGGACCACCTCATGAGCCTCCCAGGAGCCTCTCGGGACGCTCCCAGTCGCCTCTCAAGAGCCTCTCAGAACCATTTTGGGACACTCCCCGGATATTCTCAGCATCATATTATTAGAACGCTTTGCTGAGGTAATTTATTTCGGTCTGCTGCTCCCTGGTGCTCAAAGCAACTCGGTAAAGAAAACACTGCAATACAATACCAGTTACCAGGAGAAGGGAGGGGGACAACGACCAGCATTCTCCTCATCTGCCCCTTGCCCCTCCCTCCCACTCTGCCTCCTCTCTCCCCCGACTGCGTCCTGGAAGTGTCCCGCCCTCTGCGCACATTGGCTTTTGCACAGGAGTTCAAACATGTGTCGTTCATGTGTGCTTCCCTATCGGCACGCGTGTTTCAAAACGGTGTTCCCGCTGCAGCATTGGCGTCATTTCAAGATTGGCGCTTTGCCCCCGTGGTTCAGAATGCCCCAGCGCTGGCAACGCTTCTAGATCCGAGTGTTTCCTCGTCGCTGTCGCCCCCTTCCCTTCCCCTCCCCGACCTTCCCCTGGTCCTCCTGCTGCGTTCGCTCCCCCTGCTCCCCCTGCTGCCGCTGTTCCTTCCGTCCTCCTCCTCCTCCTCCCCCTCCTCCCCCTCCTCCTCCTCCTCCTCCTCCTCTTCTTCCTCCTCCTACTTCTCCTCCTCCGCCTCCTCCTCCTCCTTCTGTTCCTCCTCCTCCCTCATCATGCTTCTCTTCTTCCTGCTCATCCTCCACCTCCTCCTACAATGCAAACAGCTCCTCCTGTCAGATTGCGCATGACAAGATGGGGTCCTGAGGGGGGACCCAGCTCCGTTATGACACCAGTCGACGGATAGAGGAAAAATCAGCGCACTGGGAAGGGATGGGTGGGAGGAGTAGGATGTCAGATATGGCGCGAGCGCACCTAGTCTGGATTTACCCGCTCTCCCTTCCTCCCTCCGTCTCCCTCCCTCCCTTGCCCTCCTTTCCCCCCGCCTTCTCACTCTCCACTCCCTCCCTGTCCTCCCGTCCCGAACTCCTCACTCCCTCCCTGTCCTCCCTCCCTGCCTTGCCCTCTCTCCTGGCTGCCCGGGAAGACCTGAAGACGAACCCCTTGAGGAAGTAGGCCGAGCGCACCGGGGCGTCCCCCAGACGTGCCTGGCGCGAGGGCGCACACCCGGGCCGCTCCGGGCGCGGCGCGGGGGGTCGCACCGCAAGCACACGAGTCCCTGTGTAGTGGCGGCCGACACACGGGATATGCTGTCGGGGGTTGCTCAAGGTGCGCCTGACCCGCGGTGCCCCCCAGCTCTTCGCTCCAGGGTGGAGGCCCTACGGCCTTGGGCATCGTGCGGTCTGGAGGCTGCGGGGGCCTCCTCGGCAATATTGGGGAACCTTGGGGCAGGGGCACTTCTGGCAGCACCCGAACCCGAAAGGTCGCAAGACTCCCACGAGGGCAGCACAGCACGAGCAGGCCACAAGTCCGCGAGTGCGACTGCGGCCCGCCTCGGGCACCCTGTGGTGGGTGCCGCGGGCGCCACAGCGCGCACTGGCCACGGGGCACGCTGCACAACGAGCCTTGGCCTGAGAGGACAGAAGGGCACCCTTGACTCTGCATGTGGCGGCCTGCTCGTCAGTCGCGACTGCACCGTCCCCTTACGGGGAGGGAGGGAGGGCCCAGACGCGAACGGCAGCGCCCAGACGCCGAGGACAGCACTGCGGCCTCAGTGCACCCGCCGGCCTTCCCAGGCTCCAGGCGGACGCCCCCAGAGGAAGCATTTGCGACAAGCGCGCCGGCAGAGCTGCCAGCCAGCCACGCCGCCGCCGCTCTGGTAGCCCTGCGGGCCTGGAAATCCTGCACGACGCCCTGAGTTAAGCGACTGAGGGCGAAAAGGCTGGAGTGCAGGGGCCCATTGGTGTTTTTCGGGGCCTGGCTGGGCCCTAGGATGCGTCCCCAAGAGGCTTTCTTCCTGTGAACAGGTTGGCGACGCCCTACGTCCGGGATCTATCCGTACCAATCATTTTGAAAAGGGCCCCTGCGGATTTGGCGGAGTGCTGAATATGAACAGTCCTGGGCTGGGTCGGTATCCATGTTCAGAGCGACGTGATCGGGGGCATGCCCCCAAATCGGCTGCCGTGGGTGCGTAGCTCCTGGGCGTGGAGGTGCCACGACGCCCTCCATCCCTCAGCGGTCCACTCCTGGGGCTGGGGGCCCTGTGCACGGGTTTTTGGCTGTGCCACGGCGGCCCCCGCCAGTCCGCAGTCCCGCTGCGCGACGCCAGAGGGCGGCACCGCGCAGACCCCCTGTGCGGACCCGTTCCCCCCATCTCTTCCCGCACGCAGGACGAAGCCAGGACGAGGATCAAATCGGGTGAGGATACATCGAGAATCTCTGAGATCTGCCGGTTCAGGAGGATGTTTCGGGCGCCGTGGCCGTCGCAGAGCGATCTGGAACTCTCCTGAGAGCGTTCTGGAACGCTCTGCAACTGGTTGATCCTCGTCCCAGCCCCGTCCGAGCACGCCGAACCCGCCCGCCTGCCTGGTCCCGCCTGCCCTGCCTCCCGCCTGCGCGTGCGCCTCCCACCCCTGCCGGGGACGCCGGGGACCCCCTGCACCCCCAGAGGGCCCAGTGTGCTTGTTGGGTTGGGGGCGGGCCCAGAAAAGCTCTCGGCAAAAACAATCAACGGCTCCGGAGCTTGACTCGTCGACGCACGGCGACGAATCTTTGGCTGACTCCGTACACCGAGCGCCGCGCCGTGCACGGCCCAGCCGCGGCCCCCAGGGGCCAGGGCGGGCAGGCGGATGGGCACGTGCTGGCGGCGCCGCGGCGCCGCCCCGCCAACCGTTCGGCGGCCCGCCTCGGGGGAGGATGCCCCGGGGCACGAGGCCGGCAGCGCCGCGGCGTGCACCGCCATCCCCCGGTGGCGGTCTCGGGGGCCTGGAGGCTCCACAAGGGCTCCCCGAAGGCCCCCAGGGCGCCACGGGACTCGGCAGGAGACCCCGCGAATCCGCTGGGAGGCGCCTGGAGGCTGCTGGGAGGCCTCTGGACCACGGGTTGACGGTGCCACGGCGTCTCCCCCCATCCTCCACTGTCCTCGCTTCTTTTTCTGGGTGCACGGGCGGCCCAGCCGCCGCAGGTGTCTCAAGCTCTCACCAGATCTCTCTGCAGAGCACTTGTGCGTGCCGACCTATGCCCCGACCCCGAGATACATAAGCACGGTCTGAGCCCGAAGCGACTCTGACGAGAACGTGACGCGGCATGACACGTATATAATGGCACCCAGTCTGCATGCCACGACACGGATTACAGGCTGATCAAAGGCTGAAACGGGAAGCCTGATCAAGCAACTGGAGGTCGGAAGCGAACCGAACCTCAGAGAAAATCAGGCGCGCTGCGCTGATGGCAAACTGAAGCGAAACAGAAACTGTGTGGCCAACACCTGTGCACCTACATCGGCACATCGGCGCCCTCGTGCCGACGGCTTGCCAAGCGGCAGCGAGCGCATGTTCTTCAACCGTGCCGCGCCTTCTCGTGAACGTCGGCGCCCCACACGAATCCTGATGGCCGTGTGAGCCGAAAACGGGAGACTGGCTCAGGGAGAACAATCCCTAATATCCTGGCATCGCATTTTTCACGCCAGGCAGGCTCGCCCTATTTTTGGGCCCGGGACCCTCGCAGACCGATCTGGCTCGAAAAATGCAGAAGAGAGATGGCACCTAGAGCTCCGGTTTGGAACTGCTACGATGTTGCATGTTTTTCGTCGTGACGTCGGATCTCAGGGATGGCCAGGAATCGACAGTACGTCGCCGTTAGATCGGCGATAGGCCCCGGATGGAACAATAAACCCAACGTTCCTGGGCAAGCTAGGGCACCAAGGCGCCGATCGGAGAAGAATGGGCGATCGGAGGACGATGAAGAAAACTGCTCATACGTAAACTTTCGAGGGCGGATTGTTCAGATCGGCACTGGCCCCACTCTCTGGCGCGCGAAGCGCTCCAGGGGCGGCGGCGGAGGCGCTGCAAGGGGGGCCGGGCCCAGGGGGCTCAGGCTCAAGAAAGCCGCGCGGACCTTCGAAATGCGGGTAAGATTACAGTCAGAATTCTCCACGGCGTCTTGGACATTTTGGGGAGGCATGCCAAAAATCCAAGACGTAAGTGGATATGGTTAGAATCTGGCACCGCTGCGTAGAGGCCAGATGTTTCATCCATCTCCACTTTGTCTCGGGCTTCTAAGTAAGGGAGTGCGAGAATCCGAGACGCAGTGGATGTGTACATAGACCTTGCCCGCGCGAACGTTTGGGTTTATGCTGGGCTGTCTTCTTCGAGGCCGTCAGAAAACAGTCGAGCCTGGCAGCAGGCCTGCGCAACAGCACAGAGAGCGCAACGGGCGCTCTCTGGCACAGCGCCCAAGAGGCAGCCGAGGGCTCCACCTCGGACCGAGGTCCACCCGCCAGCGCCTCAGCCTCGTCATCTTCCTCGTGGCCCTCCTCCTACCACCGCTCCTCCTCCCCAGACCCCCGCGCGTCGTGAAACATAGCGACGGGAGGCGTTATCAATTTTCGACCTCCGCGAGCCCTAACCAGGCCCGAGGCAAAACGACTACTCGGGATGAAAAGCTGGTGCCCAGGAAGGGTGCCAGACCTCCGGGGGAGCCACGTTTTGACAAAATACTACATCATCATCATCATCATCATCATCATCATCATCATCATCATCAACAACAACAACAACAACAACAACAACAACAACAACAACAACAACAACAACAACAACAACAACAACAACAACAACAACAACAAACACAAAAACAAAAACAAAAAAAAACGACGGCGGATGCATGGGTCCTCCTGATACTCCTGTTCCCCTTCGCCCTTCACCAAGAACGCCTCGCCACAAGACCTGTCGTGGGTGCTCCATGGACCAGGCGCGCCGAAAACCGTGTCCGCTCTACAGCGAACACTCGGAAGATGCCACTGCAAATGGCAACGGGAACGTACTTGAGAGGCATGCGAACGGCCGCGCGCACAGTGGGCGTTGGTGGCAAGCACATCAAGTCATGGGTCCCAATGGAAAACAGGAAAACTACCAAGCACACGCCACCACCGTGCTGCAACTCCAGCATGCATGCGGCGCGGCAAACGAGAGACATCTGCAGCCCCATCTCGCAGCGAAAAACATGGCTGGTCGCTGCCAGCTGACAGCTGCAGCCCCCGTCCTCCGACCGACGAGGAGGAGCACGAGGACGAGGACAAGAGCATAGAGCGAGAAAAGCTGCATAAACACACGCTTCGGACCCCCCCCCTTGGCGCGCGGAGCGCGCCGGGGACGGCGCCGGAAGCGCCGCCAGGGGGGCCCAAGCGCCGATCCAAGAAATCCGCGCGGACCGCCGAAACTTTATGTGATTGCTGCTTCTTGTTCCGTGAGAATGAGAACAGGAGCGCGACAGAGAAAGTCAGCATGGGGGAAAGGGGTCCCGAGGGAAGCGGGTCCCGGACCCTGTGGCCCTCCCCCAGGACGAGATCTTCATCCTGAGTCGTTTCCTGACAATCCCGGGGCCCGTGCAGGGCCCCGAGAGCCAGAGAACGGCGAAACACCTCCGGACCCCTTTCCCTCCGGACCCGGCTCCCCCCTGGCGAGAGAGCCAGGGAGCCGCCTTGCCGGCGCCGAGCCTGCCCCGCTCAGTCGGGCTTCCCGTCGTCGTCGTGCTCCGAGCTACCGCTCTCGGCGGACAGCCACATGGAGCTGCCCCCCTGGCCGCTGCTCGACGATGCGTCCCTCCTCATGTAAGACGAAGCCAGGACGAGGACTAATTCGGGTGAAAATAAATCGAGAATCTCTGGGATCCAGCGGCTCTGGAGGATTTATCGGACGTCGCGCCCTTCTCAGAGCGTTCCGGAACGCTCTGAGAGCGTTCCAGGACGCTTTGGAACCGATTTATCCTCGTCCTAGCCCCGCCCGATCCTGCCCCTCCTACTGCTCGTCATGCGCTTGATCGCCTCTGGAGGTAGGGAAAGCGAATATAAATAGTTAAGCTTTCGGAGGTCCGCGCGGATTTCTTGGATCGGCGCTGACCCCCCTCCCTGGCGCGCGGAGCCCGTGGCGGCGCCTCTGGCGCAGCCCCTGGCGCGCTCCGCACTCCAGGAACGGGGATCCAGCGCCGATCCAAAGAATCCGCGCAGAGCTCCGACGTTTGTGCTTATGCCGCATTCTTATCCTCGAGCCTTGTCGAGCAGCCTCTCCATGCGCTCCATGCGGTCGTCGTCGTCCTCACCCTGCGCGTCCTCCTCGGGCCACTGCGCGAGCGGGGACGTGGATCCCCCGAAGCGCCGAATCATGTCCACGGTCGTGATGTTGGCGCTGGCGGGCTCGAGGATCTGGATGGCCCCAGCGAGCCCGATGTCGCCCTCGCCGAACTCGCAGCGCTCGTCCAACCGCAGGGAGTCGAGGAACCTCGTGGCGGCGCGACCAGGGGGAATGCAAGAGGGGACGGGCCTTCTAGGAAGGCGAAGGCGTCTGGCCTTCTGGGAAGCTGTCCACGCCGTGTCCGAAGCCACAAAGGGCTTCTCAGAGGCCAGGTGCCCTCTGAGAAACCACGTCGCCGTTTGACACGGCCTACCCCCTCTCCCTTCTCCCCTGGGCTCGGCGCCGAACCTCTGCCACTTCCTCTCCGAAACGAAGGACATGGCCTCCTGGACCACCTTGCCGCGATTCAGGCGTGCGAAGCCCACCATGTCCTGGTAGGTCGACTGGTACGCGCTGTTCAGCTGCGCGATCAGCAAGTTTGACAAGAACATGACAACAATAATCACATAGACGATCACAGCAACCAGCAACGATGCTTCGTGCTCCAACTCTGAATAGCGCTCCGTGTCGTACAAGCGAAACGCAATCTGCATCAAGGAGCCGGCTGCTACCAGCACGCTCTCGAAGTCGGAGTGGTTGTGGTCGAGTGAGCTGATCGCGCAACTGAATGATAACAAGACAAGCGACAGACCAAACAAGAATAGGCGCATCTCTGAGAGAACGCGGAATACTACCAATACGAAGGCGGATATGCGGGTGCTGAGCACAGAAAGGTCCATGGCGAGTGCAAAGTACACTGCTGTCGCCACGCAAGCGATGACACCATGCAACTTGCGTGTGGCGTCAGCCTGGGGACACATCTCGGTGAACATGCCGTTGTGTGCGAAGTCGTCGTTCTGGTGTGGCATGCACTGTATAATCGGCTCGAAGCCGAGCATCAACAGCAAACATATTGTTAGGATGAAACTGCAAATATCTTGGAAGTCCGTGAGGTGTTCCGGCACGTGGAGACACCCGACTTGCGCGAGGTTCTTGGAGCGAATGTCCATAATTGTGTGTTTCATGTGGTAGAACAGCCACTGGCCCAAGCTAAATATATAGATGAAGCAACGGCAACCAAATATGATACATCGGATAAACTCACTACCTTTTGCACCCTCTATGTGCTTTAGACAGGAAGTGCCGGTGATGAACACCACAAGAGTGACGAGAAGCCACATCTTGCCTATCATGAACGACTTGAAGGCAATCCGACTCCAGACGATATCGGTCACCATGGATATCACTGGGTGACACACAATCTTCGGGCAGCCGTTATCGGTGATCCACTCAATGGTTTTCGAGAATCCCCCCTCGCCATCGACCTGGAAGAAACAAAAACTGTATAATCACAAACGTTCGGCGGTCCGCGCAGATGTCTTGGATCGGAGCTGGCCCACCCTCCCTGGCGTGCGGAACGCGCCAGGGACTGCGCCTCCAGCGCCGCCAGGGGGGCCGAGCGCCGATCCGAGGAATCAGCGGGGGGGCGCCGAAAATTCAGGTTTATGCAGTTTGTATTTCTTCTGTTTCAACCATCAAGTGCTTCACGTAGTAGTTCACCCGCCTCATGCCGCCCTCGGTGGCTCGCGAACGCCACACCAGACCATCGAACAACGTCGGCAAAAGCTCGGGGGCGTCGACGCATAGCCTCCTCACCACGTCAGGATGTCGCTCGAACAGGGTGTCCATGCCGTAGTAGTACCGGTCACGGTCTGCCCTTATGGTCAAAAGGTCGACGATGATCGCCTTCGCCGCCTCCAGGCTGCCGGTCTCGATCGCCCACATGAAGGGGGAGATCGACTGGGTGCCGACCTGGACGTTGAGCATCCAGAGCGCCCGCTTGCCGCGCGGTGCGCAGCCAACCGCCCTCTTCAGCGCCTTGCCTGAATTCGTGTTGATGGCCTTCATCACAATGGTCGACCCCTCCGTGATCACGCGGGTAAGGATGCGCGAGATGAGGCTGAGCGACCACCTGAAGGCCTCCTTGGCCACGTCGTCGACTGTGAGGGTGCGCACCACCTGCACGCAGGCCGTGACGAAGGGCCCGAAGAGCTGGGTTCTTCTTAAAGATGCCCAGGACGTTTTTCCACCGCTTTTAATATTTGGCGTGTTGAAAATCATTGCTTTACCGTTTTGGGGCTACATGTTCAGCTACGTGTTTAGCTACGCTTTTGGCGTTCTCAAATCAGGCGCCTGCATTGCTGAACATGGGCGTCTACGACGTCCTAAGTTCCTTCTCCTGGCGTGCAGTCCTCCCTAGATTTATATCATCAGTCTGATTGTTCCTCGTGCTCTTCGCTTGCTCTCGCTGCTGGCTGGGGCGTCGGGCCTCTGGGCCCGATTGCCGATTGCTCCTCCTGGGGCCATCGGGGCTCGGGGCCTGTTTCGAGCTGGTGTCAGATCAGTCTTAGGGCTTTTGTCAACGTTGTTAGCTCTGAGGGGGAGGACGGCGGCAGAAACGAAACAGCGGGAGCGAAGACAGCAGGAACGACAAGAAGCAGCCTTCGACCAGAAAACAAAAAAAACGCTAAAAAGAATACGATCCACAGCGACGGGCTTAAACACTCGGTAAACAAACGGAGCTAAAAGCGCTAAGAATCGTCGCGTTCTCGTTGCAGCGTTTTTAGCTTGTCAAGAGCCCAAAATGCTAGACGGCAGAACGAAGAACAACACACAAACACCAAACAAACAAACGCCCAGGGCGTTTCTTAGAAGAACCAAGCCGAAGAGCTCCGTGGGGATGCCGTACCCGACGTGCCGCAGGCCAAGCGCGGAGATGTCTTCCACCATTTTCTGGGGGTCCCTGTAAATCTCCAGGGTCATGGAGACGATGCGGTCGGCGATGAAGTGCAGGCGAGTGGTTGACTGCTTGAAGTAGTCCTGCCCAGCGGGCGCGAGCGTGAAGAACTTGACGTAGACCTCGCGTCGGAGATAGGCTTGCGACGCCTCGTCCTGGCTCCCCCACAGCGCCTCCAACGCCCTCTCCTGCGCCGCGGGCTTCCCCATCTGCGCCTTGAGCATCCGCTCCACGTTCTCCCATAGCCAGGACCACGCCACCTCGTGATTCGAGTCCCAGTCCTTGGGAACCAAGGAACGCAAGGAAGCCAGCATCACGGCCTTGTATTCGCCGAGGCTGATCGCACCCTTGTACTTCGCGATGCGCAGCGACAACACGTCGCATTCCTCCTGAAGGCGGTAGGAATTGGCCACGTTCGTGACGATGGTGTCGAAAGAGGCAAGCACTTCATTCATCCAGCGGCTCTGACCGAAGCCCATGACGGCCGCGTTGAAATAAAACATCTCGTTATACGTGGTGGGCACAGAAGCGTTCCTAAAATTACGCTTGCTGGTGCCAGACTCATCCATACTCTTGCTCGCCTCCTGACCTGCTTTCGAACTGCTCGTTGACCTTTTGCCACCGAAGCCCCACATGCTGACCCGCCTCTTGCTCTTTGAAGCGCCCGATGCGCCGTGATCTCCCAACAAGTTCTGGCCTGCCCCATGCTTATCGTCTCTCTCAGGGTCAGTGGCGTCCGTGTCATGGCTCCCTTCTCCTTCTTTCTCGTCGCCGTCATTCGCCTCCTCGGCAAGCTCGTCCTGCTGCCGCTGGTTAGCCGTGGCCCAACTACCCGCAAGAATCTTCAAGCGGTCCGCGAACCTCAGCCGCACGTAGATGTAGGAGCCGCCGACGTAATTCAACATGGTGTTCCAGCCCTCTCGCGCCCGACTGCTCATGCGCGCGCCCAACTCGATCTGAAGCAGCTCGACGATGGCGTCGCGGAACATGATCACGCGGGGGATGGTCACCTCGAGGTCCAGGTGCTGGAAGCCCAGTGTCTCGACCACCACCTTCAACGCCTTGGGGTCGTGCAGAGAACTGATGATCTGGTTCAGGCCGTTCATGAAGCGCATGGCCATCACCGCCCTGGGTGGGATCGGTCAGCATCGAATTGGCATATCGGATTGAACCGAGCTGTGCGTTGGATCAGGCTGGATCGGTTCGGAATCGAATTCGAATCAAATCGGCTGCACTGGGCTGCACACCAGCGCCGTGCAAGTACCCGGCAGCATCGGATCGTCGGAGTATCGGAGTCGAATCGGATCGGGCGGGCCGAAATCGATATCGAATCGGATCGATCGGATCAAAGTGGACCCTGCCTCGGCGTCTTGAACAGGCTCTGAAGGCTCGGGGCCGCGTCGAAGACCGCGGCGTAGATGGCCTCGCCAGCGGCCTCTCGAGACTCGGCGCTGCCGAGGAAATCGCGCCACGACCCTTGCACGTCCCCGCTCGCGAGCCCAAGGTGGAGCTCTTCGAAGACCTGGTCGTTGACCTCCCTCGAGTTGTATGTCGCGTTCTCTCCGGCCTCCTCCTCCTCCTCCTCCTCCTCCTCCTCCTCCTGAGGGGGAGCGTCAAGGAGGAGGGACCAGCAGAAGCATCCAGCCAGAATCGGCGGTGCATCACCGACAGATCGGCGACAGGCCCTCCGATAACGAGACCGCACCTTCCTGGGCGGCGCGGGCCATCTGGCCCCATCGCCGATCAGTGGGCGATTAAGGGCCGATGCATCCCCCCCTGAGGAACCGATCTCCCCCGGTGATCCTCGTCGTCTGGTGTTCGGGTCATGCCTCCGGTCGCCGGCGGCCGGTCGGCACGATCCGGGTGCCCCCAGAACGCTCTCAGCGAGGCGCAGCTGGAAGGCACCCCGAGGCCAGAAAACCGAGAGCCGACGAAAACGCATGAAAAAAACTAACCTCGAGCCTGGAACCCAGAGCGTCTCCCCCGACCTCTGCCCCCCTGTGGAGTCCTCCCCCTCGGCCACGCCGCCGCCGGACGGCACGCCTCCGACACGAGGCGCGCCCGACTCGGCGGACGCCTCCCCCTGGTCGCCCTTGCGGGATTCGGGTCTGCTGCCCGCCAGCCCCTCATTCGCAGCCTCCGCCCGGCTGCCTGGGGCGTCCACCATGGCGCCGGCGAAGGGGCAGCGGCTGCCGCGGGGTGCCTGACATCCTCGCGTCGTCACAACATCACGACGAAAGGTTTTCGACTGTTTTCGGCCTCCAGGGGACCACACGGTGAGGGCATTTGATAAGAATTCGGGGTCTGGAAGGTGGTAGAACTCCAATTGTGGATTGGCCACGGACATTACCGCTGCCCTCATCAGATAGGCAATCCTCCAGGGTCTGAAGCCTCCTGGGCACATTCCTTCAACCACGCCCCCTTCGCTCAGGGCCCTGGGACCGTCAGAAAACGGCCCAGGACGAAGAACTGGTTCCGGGGAAGGGGTCCAGACCTCTGGGGAGCCACGAAGAGATAAGATCACGACGCCGGCTGTCTGGCGCCTATAGGGGGGTGGCCGGGAGGGGGGGGGGGAGGCTGGGCGGCCCGCGCTCCCCGCCCCCCCCCCGCCCGCTGTCGCCTCCGCGAGCCTCAAAAGCCCTTGAGCCAAACTGGCTGCAGGGCCCTCCGCGGTCGTCTTGCGGGGCACCGTTCAGGGAGGGCCCGCTGGGCGGCCCTCTCCGGAGGGCTTCTGGGAACTCCTTCTGGTGGCTCCTGGGAATTCCCGGAAGCGCCCGAACGGCGATGCGCTGCGGGTATCTCCATGTCGCTCTGAGGAATCCTGAAATCGCGCGTACCGCACAGCGGACGAGTCCGCCTCCGAGTCTCTGGTTGGCGCTCCGTGCGGCCCTGGGAGCCAACATGGAAAGCCGTTGGAGGAATCCGAATCTCGGAGGGTCAGGGGGTCTCCTGGTATCATACATGCCCGTCAGATGGAGGCTCAAATGCAGGCGTGGTACACGCATCAGAATTGATGATACGGAAACTGCCCTGCAGCTGAGCATATACTTAGTACCCCGCAATTGCGGATAAGAGTGAGGGGGCGGGCGCGGGCGACACGGGCGTCGAGCTGGCGGACCTCCTCCTCTTCCTCCTCCTCCTCCTTCTCCTCCTCCTCCTCCTCCTCCTCCTCTACCTCCCCCATCCCCGAGGCCCATGAATTGTGGGCGCATTGAAGCAGCTTCCCCTGAACCCAGGCTTTGGGCACGGATGCCGAATTGCAGCAGGCAGCGGGATTGTCAATTAACGTGTTCAGACACAGCCCCGCCGCAGGCGCCGATGTGCTGTTGTAGAATCAATGTGGGCTGGATCGGGGGAATGGCACGAGGGCGCTTTCCCAAACCAATGCGAGCAAGCCCGCCGCAGGCGGCGATTTGCGTGCTCTGACAAGTTCAGCGCGGGGGGGATCGCCACCCCGCCGCAAGCGCTGAATTTTTGGCTTGTTCAGTGAACGTATTTGGGTCGCGGGTGGGTCGCGGGCTCTCCACCTCCACCTGGAAGGAATTCAAAAACAGCCCGCCGCAGGCGCCGAAAATTTTGATCTGTACGCGGAACGCAGTTTGGGTCGCAGGTTCTCCACCTGGAACGAATGCAAAAGAAACCCGCCGCCGGCGCCGAAGTTTTGGCTTGTTCAGTGAACGTAGTTTGGGTCGCGGGTGGGTCGCGGGCTCGCCTCCTCCACCTGGAAGGAATTCCAAAACAGCCCGCCGCAGGCGCCGAAAATGTTGGGTGGGTCGCGGGGTGGGTCGCGAGTGGGTCGCGGGTGGGTCGCGGTGGGTCGCGGGTGGGTCGCGGGCGCGGTTTGGGTCGCGGGTGGGTCGCAGGTTCTCCACCTGGAAGGAATGCAAAAGAAACCCGGCGCAGGCGCCGAAAATTTTGGGTGGGTCGCGGGGTGGGTCGCAGGTGGGTCGTGGGTGGGTCGCGGGGTGGGTCGCGGGGTGGGTCACGGGTGGGTCGCGGGTGAGTCGCCGGTGGGTGGCGGGTGGGTCGCCGGGTGGGTCTCGGGGTGGCTCGCGGGCGGGTCGCGGGGTGGGTCGCGGGTGAGTCGCCGGTGGGTCGCGGGTGGGTCGCCGGGGGGGTCTCGGGGTGGGTCGCGGGGTGGGTCGCGGGTGGGTCGCGGGTGGATCGCGGGGTGGGTCGCGGGTGGGTCGCGGTGGGTCGCGGCTGGGACGACGACAACAATAAACAACAAACAACAAACAACAAACAACAAAAACAACAACAACACCAACAACAACAACGACAACAGCAGCAACAACAACAACAATAATCCGCATCGCGGAATTCCACTTCAGCCACGCACCCAGGGACAGTGAATGACCGTTCGGTTCAGCCCCCTCACTCTGACCACTGGGACAAGTGACAGGCGCGTACGAAGTGCACTTCATGACGCAACTGGAGTGCGCAGCTCACGTGTCCCCATAGCGCTGTGGAGAGCGCTGTGCGCGTAGAAAGTGCGCCCTCACGAGCTAAGAACTGCGTGCCATCGCCGTTTCGTTGTTTGGGGGTGCTGCGTAAGTTTGACACATACAGCACCAAGGAATGGGCCCTCCTCTTCATCAGGTGCACTCTGCTCCAACGTGCCACCACATAATGTGGGAGCCACACGCGCTGCACTGCGTTTGGCCAATACGTCACCCTGAGAAGGCTGATTCAAAGCCGCGTGAAGCTGCTGGTAGAATTTAGAAGGCTCCTCGAGTCATCCTGAACACTCTCAGGCTTCCTGGGGCACCCTGGGCGCTCGGGCAAACCTTCTCCCCTCAAATTGCCGTGAGGGCACCTCTGCAACACTACCAGGAAACTGGACACACACACACACACACGCACATGGCTGCGTTCACATGTGCAGGAAAGCATCCAGAGGCCACGCGCTGGATGCATAGGCGGAAGCCTGGCGTGCCCAGCCATATAAGGGCCGAGCGCCAGAAAGACATGCTGCCACGTGTGCATCCAGCTCTCGCCCAGGCCGGCCACGTCGTGTGCAGCCAGCTCCCTGGCAAAAGTCACTGAGATCTCATGCGTGCACTGCGACGCCTGCGGGGGGGCCGCAGACTGGCAGCGCGGCAACACTGCCGGCGAATCCCCCCGCCCAGAGGGGGCGGTCGATGCCGCGCCGCCGGGCGCCCGAGGTGCAGGCGGTAGGAGCCAAGGGATTGCCGACGAGGGGCGGGCGGGCAGGGCAGCACCGTCACCGGCGGAGAAGGCACAGTACTGATCAGTAGCACGAGTTACTGAGGCCGCTGAGGCTGCCAGTGAGCAGAAACACACGGTACTTTTGCGGTACCCTCTGCTGCAGGCATCCTCCACCTCCTCGGCATCGAGGGGTAGCCTGAGGACCTCCCAGGTGGGACCACTCCAGAGTGAGGAAGTTCCACCAATCAGCGTGCGGAGGAGGATGGCACTGGACTAACGGGACACTGCGCACGCTCTTCCCGCGAGACGGCCCTCATACCAGGGGCCAGGCGGCGGCGCCGCGGCGCCGGCAGGAAAGCATCACAAGGTCGGCGTCGGGGACAGAAGCGGAGAAGCCGGCTGGGCGAACCAATCGATCAGGATACAGTCAACGCGTATAATAAGAATGTACGATCAGGATGCAAGGGCCTTGGAAGGCCATGTCGACACATTTCGAGCGGTGCGCGGCCAGCGAAGGTGGCCATGGATGGGCCGAAGGGGAATGATGCAAGGGTAACCTTGGAAAGACGCTCATCCTTGATATGCGCTTTGATTGTACACGGACGGATGGCCCGCCGACGCACTGACGGTGGCGGGGGGACCTGGATGAACTTCAGGACCGCCTCGCTGGAGGACGAGCCCAACTTCCTGACAGGGCGGTTGGGCAGCCCAGACATCCGGCGTCGCGTTGTCTCATAGCGTGAATCTCCAGAGGTCTGGACCGCTTTGCGGGGACAGGCTTTGTATCCCGAGTCGTTTCCTGGCGGTCCCAGGGCCCGGCGGGGGCATCTGGAGGGCGAAAACTGCCAAAGACCTTCCGTAGTGACTTTTTCGCGACGCGAGGAAGTCAGGGAGGATGCAGGACGGAGAGCGGATGAGGGGGGTCACGGTCGAGAGAGCGAGCGCGCGGCGCCGGTCCGACGGGCGGGGCCGACGAGGGCCCACTCTGATCGGGGGTTCAGGGTGGAGACGTTAGAGGATGAGGATGATTCGAGGCATAGCATGCGAAGGGAGAGTGGAAAACAACAGAGCGATTTTAGACGCCCTAAAAAAGCGGTACGGAAAAAAGGGAACGATGCCCAACAGCGCATGTTGCCCTCCGTGGTCACCTCCCACTTGGCCCACCGCAGAGAGCTATCCCAGAACCCAGCACCCGTCGCAACCGAGCCAGGCGGGCTCAAGAGACATCCGACTCGCTCCCTTCGATCCGAGCACCTTCCAGGGACCTGGCACAGGAGGTGGTTCTCGCGACTCCTCCCAAGGGCAAAAATAGCCAGGGCTGGATGACAACAGCAGCTCGAGGATGGGCAACAAAAAAGATCCAGCACGTGCTACGAGCGTTGAGGTTCTGGGGGAGGCCTACCCTTCGTGAGATATACAAACACTGACTGCACCCATGGATCATCTCCTCGGCCGCCCACTCCCCTGGTGACGGCAAACCTGTAAGATCGGCGGCGAGCGAGGGGGGCAAGTGAGAAGGAGAAGGCCTTCTCAGAAGGCGGCGGGACTTCTCAGAAGCCCTCGCGCCTCCTGAGAAGTTGTCTGTGTCTTCGGGGAAGGCTTCGAAAACTTGACAGAAGGCAGGGAAACTTCCGACACTTCTGGGAAGGCCCGCCCCCTCCCACCTCCCCGCCTCGCTCGCAGCCGACAAGAACGAACTGCAGTGTCTGAGCATCCTTCCTAGAATCCCTTTGACCCACGCTCCTCCGGGCCTCTGCCAGGCGCCAGGCGAAGTTCTCGTGCAGGAAAGGGCCCACGAAGCGCGACATAGATGCTGGCGAGGGAGGCGGCATGACACGGTGCGACACAAGCAGTGGGAACAAGGGCGGATTCGTAGCGCATAGCGGACGCCAACGTTCCAACGTGGGCAATTGCACGGAGGACGGAAAAGATTGACTGGCGTTGGCTCGAAACATGATCGGACAAGAGCGGGAAGCGCCGATATTGTCCATTGGGCTCGTGAGGGTGATGGCAACGACAAGGCGGCGGACGACGAGGATGACGGGGAGGGCAGCGATGGGAGCAGGAGGAGAACGAGTAGAAAGACAAGCACGAGGACGAGGAGGAAGAGATGACGAGGAGGAAAAAGGAGGAGGAGGAGGAGAAAGAACGACGATGAAGGAGGACGGTAAGAAGCCCGAGGAAAAGGACGTCGAAGACGGGGGGGGGTCTCGTGATCTTTTGAGGCTACCCTGAGGGCTTTTGGGCCCATCTGGGGCTAACTTGGGGCATCCTGGGGGCGTCTTGGGGGCCTGTGGGGGTCCTCGTAGGGGCTACTGGGGTTTTCTTGGGCTGTCTGGGCGTGTCGTGAGGCTGTGTGCTAGAACACCAAATGCTGTCTGGCAGGGTTTCTGCAATCTTCCACAGGACGCCCCCTCGACCGGCACCCGGTTGCATGCAACACCATCCCCTCCCGAGGCTCCCTGGGCGGCCCGACGCCTCCCTGGGGCCCTCCTGCGTTTCCCGAGGCTTACCAGACGGCCCAGGAAGGCCACCAAGGCCGCCAGGATGGCCCAAGATTGCCTCAAGAGGCGCCCAGCAGCCCAACAGAAGTGCCCAAAAGGTCCCAAGGGGCCTCCAAGATGCTCCAAGACACACCGAACACGCCCTCCAAGAGGGCATCGACGGGCCAAAAACATTGATGCCCCCATGTGTTGTTCAATGTTTCTCGGTTCCCATGCGCCTCGAAAGCCCAAAGGAGCCCACTGGCAGACCCCAGATGGACCCGCGACGGCCCCAAGAGACACCCCAGACGGACCAAATCCCACCAGTCCTCAGGGCGTGAGCGGTCTAGCGAGCACGTTCTGCCCCTGGGTCTGGAGGGGGCAAGATGGCTCCAAGAGGCCCACAGAGAGCCCAAGATGGCCTCCAAGATTGCTCAAGATATCCCAAGATGGTTCAAGATAGCTCCCTACCTGCCTCCTAGAGCCCCCAAGACCTCCCCAGGACGGCCCCAAGAGCCCCACCTTCGAAACCATTGCGATTATCACTGTGTGTTGGCCATCTCGCCTTTTCTCTTCCGATGGGTTCTGCTGGCCTCAAGATGGATCCAAGATGGCCGAAGAGGGCTCCAAGAGAGGCCCAGGATCGCCTTCAGACTGCCCCCCAAAGCACACAGGACCACCACAAGAGAGAGAGACCACCCCAGAGGGCCCCCAGATGAGAGTTGCCAGGCCCTGACGAGGGGGGGCGCACTCGAGTACCACCCCGTCTTTGACCGATGGCTCCCAAGCTGGCCCCAGGAGGGCTCCCAAGGCCTCCAAGATGGTCTCGAGCCACAGAAAGGCCCCAACGATGGCCCCAAGCGGCCTCCGAGACGCTCCCCGGGCGACGCACGAACGGCGAGCAACGACGGGCAAAACCACTCTACCACGGCGGCCCCTGGCACGCACGACGTAAGACAGGCACCGCAGGCAACGACAGGCAACCACTCCACTAGGACAAGCAGAGGAGCCGCGAAACGCACGCAACGACGCGGACGTCACTCAGCAAACGCACAGGGAGCCTGTGGCTCCTTTGGCCGAGTGAGTGCCTGTCGTCGCTCCCTGATCAGAGCAACTCGCCCGGTGTCTGTTTGGGGGTGAGCTGGTGAGGCTACGCCACGCATCAAGAATTGCCCCAAGCCGGCCAAAGACTGCCCGAAGACAGCCCACGCAGAGGGCCCCGAGGAACCACCCGGAGCCTGCCCCGCGGGAGCCCGAGACAGCACCGAGACAGCTCCAACAGGCACCGTCAGAGCTCTTCCAGACGCGGAAGCAAGGAGGTGTCGCTCGTGACGGTCTTCTGGGCGCTGCGCAAAGGGGTCGCCACACAGAGTGCCTTCGCTGGCACGGAGGCAGCTTCACCGCAGGCTCTCCGATGGGAGCTGACGCAAGCGGTGGCTGGAAGAGATGCGCACGCCGGGGCACGGCACGGGAGGGGGAGCGGGAAGAAGGCACGAGGGCAGGAGCGTTGAGGGGGGCGCTGGCCTCCATCGAGGGGGCCGCCAAGCGAGGAGCCTTGCGGTGGGATGTCCTGCCGAGCGGCACCCCGACGTGTGCACGGCCGAGCGGCTCGGGCTATGGCGGCGCCCTGTGAGACCAGGGCACGAGCGGGCCTTTCTCCATTGGGTGGGCGGTGGGCCAAGCGATGAACAGACCTCGCCGTCTGGATTTCGGGTCATAACTCGGGTCTCCGGCGGCCGTTCGGGACGATTCCAGCACACCGGGAACGCTGTCGGCGAAACGCAGCTGCTGAAGTCATCCCAGGGCTGGGAAACCGCCGAGAACCGACGAAAGCGTCCAAGAAACCTAGAATTTCGAACCTCCCCCCCGTCCCCTCTGTGCCTGTTCCCCCACCCACCCCTCTGAGCGTAGATGCTCTAGCGAATTAGCTCGCCCAGCGACCCTTCTTCCCCTTAGGGGAGAAAAGCGCCGTGCCGCCGCCCAGCTAGCTGGCTCCGCAGCCAGTCATTCGACCCCTCCTCCTCCTCCTCCTCCTCCTCCTCCTCCTCCTCCTCCTCCTCCTTCTCCTCCTCCTCGTTTTCCTCCTCCTCCTCCTCCTCCTCCTCCTCATCATCATCATCATCATCATCATCATCATCATCATCATCATCATCATCATCATCATCATCATCATCATCATCATCATCATCATCCTCATCCTCATCCTCATCCTCGTCCTCCTTCTCCTGCTGCTGCTGCTCCTCCTCCTTCCTCACTGAACGTCCTCCCCCCTCCCTTCTACTCCCAACTCCATCCTCTCCCTCCTCCCTCCTCACTCCTCCCTCCTCCGAGTGGGAGGGGGGCAAGGGAGAGGAGAGAGGAGGGAGAGAAGAAGGGAGGAGGGAGGGAGGAAGGCGGGAGGATCCAGGAAGGAGGGCGGGAGGGAGGGGAGGGAGGGACGATGGAGGAGGCTCGCTCCACCTCCTCCCCCTCCCCCCCCCCCCTTCCTCTCCCTCCTCCCTTCTCCCTCCTCCGAAGAGCCTCCTCCTTCCTCCCTCCTCCCTGCTCCCTCCTCCTCCTCCTCCTCCTCCTCCACCTCCTCCTCCTCCTCCTCCTCTCCACTCCTCCTCCACCTCCTCCTCCTCCTCCTCCACCTCCACCTCCTCCTCCTCCTCCTCCTCCTCCTCCTCCTCCTCCTCCACCTCCCTCCTCCTCCCTCCTCCTCCTCCCCTCCTCCTCCTCTTCCCTCCTCCCTCCTCCCTCCTCCCTCCTCCCTCCTCCCTCCTTCCTCCTCCCTCCTCCCTCCGCCCTCCGCCCTCCGCCCTCCCCGCGAGGGGCGCGCCTAGCTCGTCCTGCAGCGCCCTCGCCGGCACGGCGTCGATGAAGAACTTGAGGGAGGACTCCACGTGCAGGAGCTCCGCTGGGCGCGAGCCCACGAACTTGAGCTGTCCTGGGCCATTGCTCGAGGGCCGAGGATTGGGAACGAAAGCCTTGGTAGTTAGTGAGATGGTGGGTACTGCCGGGCGCGAGCCCTCGAACTCGAGCTGCCCTGGACGGTGGCTCGAGAACCGAAGTTCGGGAAAGAAGGACCTGGTAGTTGGTGGGTGGTGGCTACTGCTGTCTGCTTGCGCAAGTAGAAGCCGAGTGCCCAGACTTGTTTGGCCGGCAGCGAGGGCGGGCGCACAAGGCGTTCGGACAGCTGGCGGGCCGCGCCAGAAATGTGGGCACACGCGGGAGACTCGGGGGGGAGGTGGAGGGCGGCCGCGGAGGAGGAACGCGGAAGGAGGTCTCAGGCGTTGAGAAGCCTCGGCCGAGGAATGCGCAGGCGGCCTCATGCACCGAAGGCTGGTGTGAGGTGCGCGTCCGGCGTGCTGCGGCAATTACACAAACATGCCTAACCACCATTGCGTAAGCTGCATGGTGGACGGCTGGTGGTGCAGGCGGCCCACGCAGGGTCTCTGCCCCGCTAATCACCATTTGGGGTCACGAAGTGGTGGCTTGGAGTTTTGGGTTCATATGTCGCCGCGCCGTTTCTTCTAAACGCGCTCAAGTAGACGAAGTCGGCACCGCGGCAAACCCCACGGCGAACCTTGCGTCCGAGGCGGAGCTTGCCCTGGTGGCCGAGGCGCCCTCCCTAAGATGCAAGGCTGCGCGTCGGAACAAACGGCGCGGCGACAGGTGTTGACGATGCAGACTGATTCTGCACTCTGGCTCAACCACCAACGCCCCAGTTGCCATGTCGGGACTTCGAAAAGCGATGGGTTCCAAGTTGAAACGAGGCGCTGGATAGTGGATCTGAGAACTTGAGCTGTCCTGGATCGCGGTCCGAGGACCGATTGCGAGGCGGGGATGTATCCATACCCATCTCCTTGTGAACCGATGTCCCCAAAAACAAGGGGGCGGTGGATATGGATATGTTTGGGCCCCCTGGGAGCCGAATACATCCGTACCCACCGCCTGCCGAGGTCCCCGAGGATCGATCACCCAGGCGGTGGTTATGGATAAACCCCTGCCTCGGGCCGAGGTTCGAGGTTCAAATTCTTGAGGTTTTCAGCACAGGCGTCGTCGATTCCGAATGGCTCTCCAGTCTCGAGGTCCTTTCTGGCAGCTGCGCCCCGCCCAGAGTGATCTGAGGGTGCACGGATCGTCCCGACCAGCCGCTCGAGGCCCGACCTTTGGCCCGAAATCCACCCATAATCCAAACATCCAACGAGCGGCGCGACACATGTCACTCCAGCGAAGCGAAGGGTCTCTCTCACGTTTAGGCGAAACCGTGGCACGAAGCAAGCGGTCCCTGAGGGAAGCGGGTCCTGACCCTGGGGCCTTCCCCCCGGACCTGTTTTTCATCTTGAGTGCTCTTTGACGGCCCCAGGGGCCCGGGGAAGGCCCGAGCCCGACAATTGCCAGAAACCTCAGGACACATTTCCCGCAGGACCCGCTTGCTTCATGGCGGAGCTGCTTGAGCCGGATGAGGCCAAATTCCGGGTGTGGCAAAGTGAGAGGCGGGCCAGGAAGAGGGGGGGTAGCGCACCATGGCTCCAGGCAAATGCGCGGATGAGGGCGGGACAGGGAATGTTTTAAATGTTGGAAGGTTCCATGGCCACGTCCATGATGTCTACACCGTTAATCATCACCCCCATGTTGTCACGAGCGGCGAACGCATCCATCTCCACACCCTCGCGGTCTGGCCTCTGGGGCGCGATCCCGTGGATACGCGGTCGCATGGACTCGTCCCGCGCGAGGTATTCACAAAAAGTGCCCCCGTATCTACAGGGCCGCGGCTCAGAGGCCTGGCCCGCGGGGCGGATGAGCCTGTTTGTCTGTCGATATCGGCAAGTTCACTTGCACTGAGGAGGGGGGAGGCCCGAGGGGAAATCTGAGCTTCACACAAGTCGGAACTCACTAGCACGCCTTCTCGGTCCAGCGCTGCCTTGAGCGGCGGAGATGGGTTGGGGATGTGATTCAATTTACTTGCTGGAATCTGAATACAAACGCGCTCTCTGTCTCCCGCCCACGGTCTCGGACGGCCCCGAAGATCAAGCCCAGGTTGGCGGCGCGCACACGGGGGTAGGAGGTACGGGGAGGATGCTTCTTAGAAGGCGCCGGCCTAGAGAAGGCCCGGGCCTTCTAAGAAACAGGGAGGCTTCTACGAAGCCTTCCCCCCTCCCCCACCCCCCTGCTGCGCGTGGCTGACCAGGAGCGGGGCTAGCGGCCCCCCGAGGGCGGGCCAAAAATGCGCACTGCGAGGCCAGCTGGCCCGAGCAACTGCCGCTTGGCGGGGCTGGCCTGCGGCCCCACGCGATCTGGGAAAAGCACACCGGAAATTCCAGGACGCGCGAGGACATGCCAGTATGATCTGTCCTCCTCGGAAGCGTGACTCGGACCCGAACATATAGTACAACCATGTTGTAGTACATCGTTTCCCGAGCGATATGGCCAGAAAGCGCCCACCACGGAACTTTTAATATTGGATTTCTCGGCGCGCGCGACGCCCGTGGGGGGGGGGGGGGGGCAATAGTATGCTTGGTTGGTGCCTACATTGCTCTTGTTCCCCACATCCCAAGTGGGGTTCTTGTTGTTTTCTCTGGACACCCCGCGCAGGAACAAGAACCCACACCCACTCGCTCATTCAGTCACACTCACGCACTCAGTCACTCACTCAGACACTCACTCAGACATTCACTTGCTCACCCACTCACTCATTCAACCACTCACTCATTATCATCAGCATCGTCACTGCCAACACCGAGTCGCCAGCACTCGTCATCATCACCACTCATCATTACCACCACCCATCATCATCATCATCATCATCATCATCATCATCATCATCATCATCATCAGCAACATCATCATCATCCTATCCTCATCATCATCATTATCATCATCATCATCATCAGCATCAGCATCATCATCATCATCATCATCATCATCATCATCATCATCACCATCGTACTCATCGTTACCAACACCATCATCCATTGACCATTCACCATCACCATGTTCATCACACATGATCATCAACATAACCATCGCCATTCACTCAATTATCATTTCGTGGTCACTCACGTGAATCCTTTCGGCAAACCTGTAGCTGTCGTCACTTTTAGGCTCCTCAGGCTTGAACTTGGAGGAAGTATGAGGCGGGAGCCTCGTCTGTGAGTGAACTGTGAGGAAGTCTTAGGCGGGAGCCTCCTCCCCATGGTGCCCGCAGCTCATATGAGTAATCCGAACGGGTCATTCGAAAACCTCTACAAGTCGTCACTTTTGGGCTCCTCAGGCTTGAATTTGGAGGACGTATCAGGCGGGAGCCGCGTCTGTGGGTGAATGGTGAGAAAGTCTCAGGCGTGAGCCTCCTCCCTATGGTGCCCGCTCATATGAGTAATCCGAACGGGTCATTCGAAAACCTCTACCTGTCGTCACTTTTGGGCTCCTCAGGCTTGAATTTGGAGGACGTATCAGGCGGGAGCCTCGTCTGTGGGTGAATGTTGAGGAAGTGTCAGGCGGGAACCCCCTCCCTATGGTGCCCGCAGCTCATATGAGTAATCCGAGCCGGCTATTCGAAAACATGTAACTGTCGTCACTTTTGGGTTCCTCAGGCTTGACTTTGGAGGAAGTATCCGGCGGGAGCTTCGTCTGTGAGTGAAATGTGAGAAGGTGCCGGTGCGAACAAGGTCGCTGGTGCGAACAAATCGCGCCGTCGCACGCGAGCCCCATGAGTCTCATGTTTCTTCTATGTCTAGTGTTGCACGCGAATGGTCGGGCGGGCTTCCGTTCGGTAGCTTGCGGCTGGGCCCCCTCCCTCCATCACTCCATCCTCTTCCTCTAGTTCCCTCCCTCCTCCTCCTCGCCTAGTTTCCTCCCTCCTACTCCCCCCCCTCCTCCTCCTCTTCGTTTTACAGGTATGTATTGTATCCCTCAGACTCCACTAGACTTTACTAGAACCCAGGCTTACGCCCCGAAGCGCGCAACGCCGGTGCAAACAAGTCTGCTGGCGCGAGCGGCCTGCGGAGGGGAAGTGCGCAACGCCCGTGCGAACAAGTCTGCCGGTGCGAACAAGTCTGCCGGTGCGAACAACTCGCGCCGTCGCACGTGAGCCCCATGAGTCCCATTTTGTTTCTTCTATGTCTCGTATTGCACGTGGGTGGTCGGGCGGATCTCCGTCCGATAGCTTGCGTCTGGGCCCCCTCCCTCCCTCACTCCTTACTCCTCTTCCTCTGGTTCCCTCCCTCCTCCTCCTCTAGTTTTCTTCCTCCTCCTCCTCCTCCTCCTCCTCCTCCTCCTCCTCCTCCTCCTCCTCCTCCTCCTCCTCCTCCTCCTCCTCCTCCTCCTCCTCCTCTTCGTTTTACAAATACGTATTGTATCCCTCAGACCCCACTAGACTTTACTAGAACCCAGGCTTACGCCCCGAAACGCGCATAGCCGGTGCAAACAAGTCTGCTGGCGCGAGCGGCCTGCCGAGGGGAAGTGCGCAACGCCGGTGCGAACACGTCTGCCTGTGCGAACAAGTCTGCTGGTGCGAACAAGTCGTGCCTCGTCGCCAAGTTCGCCAAGGCCTGCGACGAAGCCTGGGAGGACGACGTGCAGAATAAGCCCTGGAGCGAGAAAAAGGTCACGCACTTGCTCCTGCTGGGCCAGGGCGGCTCGGGGAAACCGCACGTGGTGCAGAAGATCGTCTTCCCAGTCGTAGAGTACGCGTGGCCCTCGCCAGCGCTGGACATGGCCAGCATGATGGTCGTTGCCTTCTCGAATGCGCAGGCGAAGAACATCTCCACGGAGACTGTCAAGGCCAGAATGCTGCACACTGCCTGTGCCATGCGAATCCAGAAGTACATCAACGCGAAGCTGCGGCCGGGGGGCATGCAGAAGAAGTTGAAGTGGTTGTGGGAGTACGTCCGCGTCCTTGCCATCGAGGAGATAAGCATGGTGGCAGCCGCGCTGTACAACGCGCTGGACCTTCGCGCATGCCATGGACGCAGTGACACGCACGACGTGCAGGAGTCCACCTACCAGCGGCCGCACCACCACTTCGGGCGCGTCCCCATCGCGTTGTACCTCGGCGACTTCCTGCAACTGAAGCCCACTGGCAGCATTGGCCCCCTGACGGGCCCGAACGAGCGCCCGGACGACGACGGGCCGCACAAGTAAGGGCACGAAGCGCCTCGAGCCCGGGGACCCTCTGATCACGCTCCTGAGCTGCATGCGCGATGTCGCGGCCCAAGCACACCGTCCGGAGCGGGGCCTCGGAGCAGCGCAGGAACGGCACCAGGTGGGCGGGGCTGAGCTGCACGCCAGGCGCGGCAACGCGGCAGCGTCATGGCGGCGCGCGGTGAGGGAGGGAAGGGGACAAGGGGGGAGGGGAAGGACCGGAGGGGAGAGGAGCGCCCCGCCCGCGGGTAGCCCCTGGCGGGCAGAGCGGCAGCAGCTCGCGGCCCAGCGGAGGCAGCGGCCAGCATGCGCGTGTGGAGGCGCCCGCCGATGCGGCGACCAGGTGGTGACTGCGCTGACGGGGTGGCAATACTAAGGCCAAATGACCAATGCGGGTGCCCGGAAACGGGCCCGCGCGTCAGGGTGACGTTGCGCCAGGGGCAAGGGGGGGGGCCGGCTGGCGACGAGGGGCGCTTGCGCGCCACATGGGGCGGCGGGGGCGCGCCAGGGCGGAGGCGGCAGAGCCACTGAGGCGGGAGGGGGGAAAAGGAGGGGCACGCACATGAGCGGCGCAACGACTTATTAAAACAGGGCTGCGTGCCGCCCGGGCAGAGGGCTCGCAGCCAGTGGAGGAAAGCGGGAGCGCACCTGACCGGTGCAACGTTTTGTGCAAGCAGGGCTGCGCGACGCTCGGGCAGACAGCGCGCAGCCACAGAAGGAGAGAAGGGAACCTGAGCGGCGCATTACCTTGTGTAAGCAGGGCTGCGCGCCGCCTGGGCAGACAGCGCGCAGCCTGAGGATGTGGCGGGAGGGAGGCCCAGCAGGTACCAGGTGTGGGTGCCAGGGAAGGCGCCGAACTGGTGTGGTGGCGCAGCCGTGTGGTCGGCCGCTGCTCTCGGGTGACCCGAGGATCCCGCCGCGACGCTGTCCAAATTGACCTGGCCTCGGTGCCCAGGGAGGGCCAACATCGGGCTGGGGAGACCGGCGCCGCTATAGGCCGCGCGCTCTGACTGGGTCATTCTCAGGCCAGGTAGGATCGGCGTGGTGTTTGCCTTTCCCCTGCCAGCCGCCGCTTCTCCCCCTGCTTTGGCTGTCGTCGTTGCGACCTTGTGCCGTGGAGTTCCTGTGCCACTGGGGTTGCCAGACGCTGTCCCGGTCCACGAGAATGTCGCGCCCCCAGCAGAAGCGACGGATGTCGTAGCGCCACCAGGCCAAGTCGTTGAGGAAGTCCTTGCAGAAATTGTCCTGGCCGTTCGGGTTGTACGTGCCCCTTCCTTTGCCCTGTCCATCACGCTTGTCGCAGGCGCTGTTCCACCCTTCGACAAAGAAGGCACCACATTCCCACTTCAGCTTCGGCCCAGAGAACGAGCTCCAATGAAATATTCAATATCAAACAAGCTGGCTTTGGCGGGGGCACAGTGTGTTTCCAAGACGGCCCGAGACGTATATATGGACCGCGGCCCATGGCGGCCCCAACATGGCCAAAAACAGCCTCGCGATGCCCAAAACGGCCCAAGAGGTCTCCAAGCTGTCTCCAAGAAACCTCCAAGCCGACCCGCGAGGCTTCAGAAAGAACATCAAAGATCGATCACGTGTTCCCCGAAGCGTTTCCACACCAGCTAGGTGAACACATGATCCGATAGTTTGGCCGAGCTCTGGCCACAATGTTCGGCCACGCAGGCGCTTCCGAAAGGCAAGGGGCGGCGGTGATTCGCTGTAATTCAGCATCTTCAAAACATAACTGCTTGCACCTCTCCAGGGGGAAAGAGATCAGAGGCGATTGATTTGAACCCGTCCGCGCGTTTTCTTGCCGTTTCGCTGGGGACATCATCACCATTCCGAACACCGGACGCAACCCTCACGCAGATCGCGACTCTCTCCTTTTCCTATGCTTCCAACCCGATTGCGTCGCTCCACGCATCGTCAAACAAATGGTTTCGGAGCTCCTTGTCACATGCAACTGCAAGGTGTGGAACACCCTCCTGCGTCAGACACACCGCAAGGTGTGGCAACCCCATCAGCTGTCGATTGCAATCCCGCTGGTGTACCTGCTTCTCGACAGCCCTCGGGCGATACTGATTATCCTCCATCTCCCCTTGTCCCCCTGCTTTTCCATATCCTTCTCCCTCCTCCTCCTCCTCCTCCTCCTCCTCCTCCTCCTCCTCCTCCTCCTCCCCCTCCTCCCCCTCCTCCTCCTCCTCCTCCTCCTCCTCCTCCTCCTCCTCCTCTTCCTCCTCCTCGGATCCGAGTTAATGTTCCTCTTCTTGACCAGTGTTTGCGATGATTGCCTGCTGCAGTTGTTGCTGCATGAGCCTGACCACGCACGCGCCACTTGTGTACACACAGACACACACGCACACACACACACACACACACACACCAGCCGCCAGTGCGGGCGGGGGGCGGAAAAGGCTGCTGCGGCACCCCGGCCATCAGCCGCCCCGGATTGAGAGCCACTCGCTCCGCGTGGCCGGCTCCTCGTCGCCGCCGCCACCGCGGCGCCAGAAAGCCGAGAGCACACGCGGCGGGACCCCCGTGCGGAGCAGTGCGGAGAGGCCACGCGCCGGATGCACGTGCGGAGGGCGGGCGCACCCACCCGTGGAGAGGGGCCGAGCGAGGGAAGGAGCTGCAGCCGCATGCGTGTAGCCGGCTCTCGCCCCGGCTGGCCGCGTCACGCGCATCCCGCTGCCTGGCAGCCGCTGGCTCTGGCGAAGGAGCCGCCGTTGGAACCGGGCGCGTCTCCTGCGGTCACGTACTTCCCAGAGGCCGAGCGTGAGGTGAGCGGGACCCCCGTCACGAAGTCGCCCACGTCCCATGAGGGCCCGTGCCGCAGCCAGTACTCGGTAAGCGAGGAGGCGTAGAAGCCAAGCCTGTGGGGGTCGCGCCAGCAGAAGTCGGCCGCGTCAGGAGAAGCCAGGGGGAGAGGATGAATTCCTTGGATTTCTCGACCTCGGCCCTCGGGGGCCATTTATCATTTGATACGGGTTCGCGCGGGGCGCATGCGAGATCAGCGCGGACGCACCGCATGGTGAGATGAGAGTGCGGGTTCTGGACGAGATTGCTAGAACCATACGTCTGTCCTGAGATTTCAGCAAATGCGCGCGGACAGAAAATCTGCCAGACTTGTCATGAAAAAACAAACACGGGCGTTGATGCTGCTTGGTTGAACTCCTTGCAAGAATGGCGCGTTTGGGATCCATGTGTTGCAAAGAAGGTATAAGGGAAATCTTCTGCGATAAACAACCGCGCGCATTGAATCATTTGACACAGATGGGGGAGGTAATGCTGGCGCGGCTGAGATGTTAAGGTTCAGAGGGAAAATAAGCGACGAAACATAGTTATGTGTAAATCGCGGTGGCGCGCCGCTGGATCCCCCCAAGGGGGGGGCTGGGGGTCCGGGACCCCCCCACCCTTCCCCGGTACGTCGTCGGCGGACCTCCCCCCTTCCCGGTCCGTCCCCGTTTCCTGGTCCGTCGTCGGCGGACACCCCTCCCTTTCAAAAGGGGTGTGGGGGGGTTCCGGACGCCTCCCCCTCCCCCCTTTTGAACTCGAAATTCGGACCCCCCCCCTCCCACCCTTTCACCACGCCGCCCCAGGGCTCCGGAACCCGATCCCTACCACCCTGAGCCTAAGTCAGTGTTTCCGATTAGTAAACACCCCCTGCCCCACCCGGTCGGCAGCCAACCCGGAACCATGCGCACACCATGAGGGCCTCCCCCCCACCATCCCGTTCAAAAAACAATGCAAAATTCCCGGATAGCTCGCAGAGAGCTAAAAAGGTTTCAGATTAAGAAGCCGGAGCCGCAGGGTGGCCCCAGATCGTTCTGGCAGCGGTCCAGGCTCCCCGGCGCGCCTTGCTTGAATTTGCAGCGTGTTCCGGCAGGCCGTTTACTAAGCGTTTCCTGATACGCGTGCCAGGAAGCTCTCCAGGTCCTTCGGAAGCTCTCTCCAGCTCCTTCCAGAGGGCTTCGCCAGGCCTTTCCACGCACTTCGGGCGCCCTGCTATCCGAGTTTTGGACAACACATGTCACAAGTGCACATTGCGGGGCCCACCCTGCCAACACCCTCCACAATCCCTGTCAACAAAAAAAACAATACGAAGTGCACGTTGCAGCAAAATCTGGACCGTGCGCTGGCGGCCTGCTAGCACATTGTATTGTTTTTTGACAGGGGTGGCGGGACACCCTTATTGAAGCCGCTTGGTGCAGGACCACCATTCGTGTCAAAAACAATGCAAAGAGCACGTTGCGACAACGTCGTGGGCATTGTGCTGACCACCCGCGATTACTTTGCATTGTTTGACAGGGACGGCGGTGGTGCCCGCATGACGATGCTTGCTGTGCGCAGGCCCAGAACAATGCTGACGCCCCCCACATCAGCATCGGGACCATGTGGACGGGGGGGCATCACGATTTTTACAAGGATGGCACACCAACCGCATGTGGAGCCCGCGGCGATCGTCGCGCACATGGCGTCCGCTTTGGTTCCTAGCGGCTGTCCATCCAGTGGCGACCTCTGACTATGCCGAGCCTCGGAAGCCACTTATGTGGTGGGAGGGCGGGTGGGAGTGAGCTAGACAGCTTGCGTGTGGAGAGGGTGTCTTGTCCTAGCCCTAACCCCAACACCTAACCCTCACCCTAACCCTAACCCCTAACCCCAAACCCTGAACCCGAACCCTAAACCCTACCCCTACGCCCTACCCCAACCCTAACCTCTACCCGAACCCCTAACCCTCACCCGTAAACCCGACCGTAACCCCTAGCCCTAACCCATAACCCTAACCCTAAACCCAAACCCCGAACCCTAACCCTACACCCTAAACCTAATAAAACCTAAAATCTACTCGAACCCCAACCCTAAACCTTAACCCTAATAACCTCTACCCTAACCCCTACTCGTACCCTAACCTCTAAGCCTAACCCCAAATCGTAACCCTAACCCATAAACCGAATCCTAATCCTAAACCCCTAACCCTACACCCACAACATTAAACCGACCTAACCTCAACCGTAACCCCCACATGAACCCCTAATCCTAACCAATAACCCTAACCCTAAGCCCTACCCTTACCCCCAACCCGAACCCTTAACCCTGAACCCATAACCCTAACCCGAACCTTAAACCCTAAACCCTTAACCGTAACCTTAACCCCTAACCCGAACCCCTACCCCTAGCCCTAAACTCTTGACCCGAACCCTAACGTTAACCCTGACGACGCCCTAACCCTAACCACTACGACCCCCAAGCCCCAAACCCTGATCCTAAACCGAACCCCAAACCCTAATCACGATCCTACCCATTAGTGCTAAGCCTAAACACTACGAGCCCTAAACCCTACACCCGAACCCTAACCCTGATCCTGACCCCTACTCTAACCCCTTATACCTAGCCCACAACCCGAACCCTAAACCCAAACCCCGAAACCTAACCCAAAATCCTAAACCCTAAACCGTAACCTTAACCCTAACCATAACCCCTAATCCGAGTCCCTACGCCCTACCCCTATCCTCACTTTTTATGATTAAACACCCCCAAACCCCCACCTAGCTGGCCGATAGCAAGCCCGCCGTCCGAAGTGTAAAAAACAATACAAACTCCTTTTTTCTTTCCAACATGTCGTCCGCTTGCGAAAAATGCAACAGCAATATGACGGAATCATCATCGCTTGGGTAATCCTAGGCGGATGGCCGCGTCCTGCCGATCCCAAATAACTATACACAGCCCACGCTTTCTTCGACAACATGGAATTTCTTGTCGTCGGCGCTGCGAAAAGCGAAGCAGGAATAGGACGGAATGAACATCGCTTGGGTGACTCTAGGAGAGTGGTCACGTCCTACCGATCCAACAAAAAAAAAACAAGACAATGTCAACGTTTTCCTCGACAACATTGACTTTTTTTGTCGTCGACGCTGCGAAAAGCGAAGCAGGAATGGGACGGAATGAACATCGCTTGGGTAACCCTACGCGGGTGGTCGCGTCCTGCCTATCAAAACGCAATACACAGTCAACGTTGTGCTCGACAATATGGATTTGTTTGTCGCCGACGTTGCGAAAAGTGTAGCAAGAATGGGACGCGTCGCACATCGCGCGCGGACGCCTGGTCAACCCTACGCGGGACCCCCCGTCCTACCTGCCAATAAACATCGCAACGTCGACGTTTTTCTTGCTGACATTACTTTCTCCTCGTCGGCGCTGCGAATCGCGCAGCGGGGATGGGACGCCCCGCGAACTCCCGAGAGACATTCTCCTCTTCCTCCTCAGTTTCTCCCTCCCTCCCTCTCTCCCTCCCCTCCTCCTCCTCCTCCTCCCCCCCCCTCCTCCATGCGCGGCAGGAGCGAAACGATTGGCGGTGCAACACGCGTGGCTGGAATGAGACGCGGCGCACTTCGCGCGCTGGACATGCTGTCGCCGACGATGCAACATGAGAGGCCGGATCTGGGCGCGGCGTACATCGCCAGCGGTCTGGTTTCTCGTCGACGTTGCTCAATACGCGGCAGGAATAGGACGCAGCTCATGTCGTGCGCTGAACGTCTAGCCGCCCACGATAAGATGAGCGACAAGCGTCGGACGCGACGCACTGTCTTTTTATGTTGTGGTTGTGGGAGGGCGGGTGGGAGCGGACGGAGCCCTCTGGCATGTTCGAGCTGGCTAACTTGACTCACTACCCTTACCCGAACCGCTACCCCAACCCCTAACCCTAACCACTGGCCCCATACCCCCCCAATCCTAACCCTAACCCTAGCCCTAAGCCCGAGCCCCGAACCCGAACCCTACACCCTAAACCGAAATCCTTACTCGAACCCCGAACCATAACCCTAAATCCTTACTTCTTCTGATTAAACTCCCCCAAACCCCCACCTAGCCGGCCGATAGCAAACCCGCCGCCCCAACTATACAAAAACAATACAAATTCACTTTTTCCCCCCAACATGTCGTCGAGTTGCGAAAAGTGCAGCACTAATAGGACGGAATGAACATCGCTTGGGTAACCCTAAGCGGGCGGTCGCGTCCTACCGGTCCAACAAAACAATACAAAGTCAACGTTTTCCTCGACAACATGGCCCTTCTTATCGTCGACGCTGCGAGAATTGAACCAGGAATAAGACGGAATGAACATCGCTTGGGTAACCCTAAGCGGGTGGTCGCGTCCTACCTATCAGCAAACAAAGCAAAGCCAACGTGTTCCTCGACAACATGGACTTTCTTGTCGCCGACGCTGCGAAAAGTGAAACAGGAATAAGACGGAATGAACATCGCTTGGGTAACCCTAAGCGAGTGGTCGCGTCCTGCCTATCAAAACGCAATACACAGTCAACGTTGTGCTCGACAATATGGACTTTCTTGTCGCCGACGCTGCGAAAAGTGTAGCAAGAATGGGACGCGGCGCACATCGCGCGCGGACGCCTGGCCAACCCTACGCGGGACCCCCCGTCCTACCTGCCAATAAACATCGCAGCGTCGACGTTTTTCTTGCCAACATTACTTTCTCCTCGTCGGCGCTGCGAATCGCGTAGCGAGGATGGGACGCCCCGCGAATTCCCATGAGGCATTATCCTCTTCCTCCTCCGTTTCTCCCTCCCTCCCTCTCTCCCTCCCCTCCTCGTCCTCCTCCTCCTCCTCCTCCTCCTCCCCCTCCTCCATGCGTGGCAGGAGCGAATCGATTGGCGGTGCAACACGCGTGGCTGGAATGAGACGCGGCGCACTTCGCGCGCTGGACATGCTGTCGCCGACGATGCAACATGAGAGGCCGGATCGGGGCGCGGCGTACATCGCGCGCGGTTTTGTTTGTCGTCGACGTTGCTCAATACGCGGCAGGAATAGGACGCAGCTCATGTCGCGCGATGAACGTCTAGCCGCCAACGACATAAGA